GGGTGAGGGGGCGAGGTTGGACGGCGGAGGAGGGCTTGGCGGTGGCGGCGATGGGGCTGGCGGGCTTGGCGGCGGCGGGCTTAGGGCGGCGGGCTTGGCGGCGGGGGTGATGGCGGTGGTGGGGACGGCAGAGGGGTGAGGGAGTGGGCGGCGACGGGGGAGGCGGGCTCGGTGGGGGCGGCGACGGGGGAGGCGGGCTTGGCGGCGGCGGGCTTGTGGCGGTGGTGGCGATGGCGGTGGTGGGGGCGACGGAGGGGGCGGGCTGGGAGGCGGCGGCGACGATGGAGGCGGGGAAGGAGGTGGCGGGGGCGCAAGAGGCCGGAGGGAGGCGGGATGGCGAGGCGCTGGCACAGAGGGCGTGCGCGTGCGGCGCGCCTGCTCGAGGCCAGGCCGTCGCCTCCCGTGAAGAGCCCGACGGCCCTCTCGAGTAGGATGCCCTCGCCGAGCAGGCAGCGGCCCCCGGCACAGATTGCTCCTCGCCGTCCTCGCCAAGCAGGGGTGTCTGAGCAGGGGTGGCTTGCCGAAGCCGGTCGGAAGGGGGGGTGGGGGGGGGCAGGCGCTTATGCATGTTAGCCGGGCCGAGACGGGGGAGGTGGGTGGAGCAAGATGCCGGGAGGAGCGGGTGGGTTGGGGGGGGGAGGGCTGGCCTGCAGACGAAGGCGTCGCGCGGCTTGCGACGTTCGGTTCTGCCGCGGCTTGGGCGCTCATGAGGCCGCGCGACTCGTGCGAAGCCGTGGTACGCGCCCCGCCAGGGAAGTGGGCTGTGTTTGCGTTTCTTTGTGGGGACGGGTTGGGAGGGTGGAGGCATCTAGATGGAGATGAAGAGCGAGGCGCACCTCAGACTCGGCACCTGATCGGACGGAGGCAGTCCGATGAGCGGAGGCAGAAATCGAGGATGCGGCGGCGGCCGATGGACGGCGCTCAGCGCGGAGCGGGCGGCGCAGGCCCGGAGCCCTGGCGCGGGCGTGGCGCGGCAGGGCGCGGCGCGGGCGCGGTGGCTCGCAATCATGTTGGCCGGGGATCAGAGGGCGGAGGCGCGGCTCGGGCGGCGGCGCGAGCCTCTGCTCGCGTCGCGCGGGCGGGGAGGGAGAGGGAGGGGAGGGCGAGGGCAGGGAGGGGCGGGGGGCGGGCTCAGCGGCGCGGGGCCCCGGCCCTCGCGCTGGGCGGCGGGCGCGGCAGCTGGCCTTTTGAGAGATCCACGAGCCGCCTCGTTCTGTGCTTCTCTACCCGGGTACCTCTGAGGTGCCCACCTTTCATTGTCGCCAACCAGATTCCGATCTCGTCGCGACACTCCGATTTCTCTTTGTCGGGCCCTGTGCCGCTCGCCTCGTCCGCCCAAGTGACTTGGACGCGCGGTCGAGGGCACCCCACCGTTCCTGGGGCGCGCTGGCGCTAGCCAGCAATCGTTCCCCCACCCATCCACCCTTTTTCTTTGAGGCTGTCGCTCCGAGAAAACTCGTCTCGCAGCTGCGAGAAGTTATCATCTCAAAAAAATGTCCCGGCCGACTGACCACCGCGGGGGAAGTTTAGCGGGAGGGAAGGGAGCGGGGGGGCGCCCAGTAGGGCGCCGGCGCCCCAGCGTAGAGGGCGTCGTGTAGCCCTCCTTTTGGTATAATAAAAGGTGGGGTGTCGCAAATCACTTGTGGTAATTTTTCGTCCGAATTGGAATTCGATTTCTTTTCGCCCGACTTTTGGCATGCCTTGTGCCGCTTGCTCGCCCGCCCGAGTGACTCGAACGCGCAGAATCTTGGCGGCCAGACGGCTCACCAAGGTATTTGCAGTCGAGACCGAGGGCGACGGCTGGATGACTAGCTGGTAGAGCGCGCCCAGCGAGGTGGCGAGCATGATCCGCCGCTCCTCGATGCGCCGCCTCTCATCTACCCCGCCGGCCTGCATGCGGAGCAAGTCCGTGAAGTCCTCGAGCCTCGTGTGTGGGTCCGCGGAGGTAGACTGAAAGATGACGGGGAGCGAAGCGCCCTTGAGCAAGCGAGGGATTTGGAGCGCGAGCATCGTAGGGTTGGCGGCCGCCGCCCCCACGCTTTGCACGATAGCTCCTTGGAGAAGGCCGGCCGTGAGTCTCGCGGGGGCTGCCAGGGGCAGGCGGGCCGCCCTTGTAGCTATCGGTCCCAAATGGAAAGAGAGCAGCGAGTACAGCAGCAGAGGCAACTCCCCGCCCGCCTCGAGCGCGCGAAGCGGGAGTTGCGTAAGGAAGAGCAGGTCCTGTGGTCCTGGCACGACCGGCACCACGGCCGCGGCTTGGCCCCCTCGACCGCGGCCCCGGCCTCTCCCCGCGGCCGGCGCTGGGACGGCGGGCGCGTCAAAGTCTTCACCGAGAAAGATGTCCGAGTGCGAGACCACCCAGACCCCTGGGTTGGCCATTGCCAGACCGGCGAGCCGCTGGTGCAGCACGCCGATCTTCTCCATGGAAGTGGCAAAGAGGTTCGCCGCGTCCAGAGCGGTCAGAAGCCGCGACCAGAATGCCCCATTGAAAAGCACATTGAGAACGTGGTTCCCATCGAGGAGGGTGCCTGTCTACTGGTCCACGCTGAACCGGCACCGCGGCAGGAAGGCGCCCTTGGCGTCACTCTGCCCCAGGGTGTAGTTGGTCACTGCTCCTGCATTGTCGTACACCGTGGTCCAACTCAGACAAGGCGTGTGGTCCTTTACGTGCTGAGCCCCTGGAGCGAGAACGAGCGCTGCATCACTGGTGATCTGAACTTCGTCAACGACGACGACGATGGGCGCTTGCGCAGCTGGCGGGGCCTGCTGCTGCGTCATCTTCACTGCGTCCTCTCCTCTCCTCCCACCTCACAGAAAACTGCGGCCGCCAGCGACAGAGCGTCTCGCTGGCGGACGGCGAGAGGAACACAAAGGGACGTCCGGACGTCCATCCACTGGGATGAGATAACTGGAGATCTGAGGTCGAATCTCCCGATTCCACAGCCGCCCACAGGAGCGCCGCCTCAACACGGGGTCTCGGCTCTATCGAGCCATGCTAGCTCCAGCCGCAGCCCCACCCGGCCGCCCGAGGGTGTTCCCGCAGGCAGAGAAGACCAATCCTGGGGGAAGTAACCAGATGAGGCGAGGTGAGGCGAGATGAGGCGAGGTGAGGCGAGATGAGGCGAGGTGAGGTGAGATGAGGCGAGGTGTGAGGCGAGATAGCGAGGTGAGGCGAGATGAAGCGAGGTGAGGCGAGATGAGGCGAGACTAGGAGGCGAGATGAAGCGGGATGTTGTGTGGCTGCTTGTGCTGCCAAGCAGCAGGCAGCACAAGCAGCCATACAAGTGAGCTTTTGGGTTGTGTGGCTGCTTGTGCTGCCTGCTCATGAGCAGGCAGCACAAGCAGCCACACAAGTCAGCTTTGGGAGCTCACGGCGACGCCCAATGCGTGCGCCGGTAGGGGGGAGTGTGTGCGCGCGTGTGTGAGATGAGGATTGTGGCAGGCTGCTGCTGCTGATGGGAAGTGTGCTCTGTGTGTGGCGCTGCGCTGGCGTGCGACGCGCGCGTGCTGTGTACGTGTGCGTGTTGCGGTCGCGCGCGCGTCTGCGTGTGCTGCGCGCGCGCCGCCGGTGTGTGCTGTGTGCTGTATTCTGTTGTGCGCCCTGTTTGTGCAGCTGGGAGGCGCAGGCTTGGCTGGCAGGGCTGCGCGGCGGGCTGCGGCGTGCTGTGGGTGGTCGCGCGCCTGCCTGCTGGTGTGCGGCGGCCGCTCAGCCCGCCCGACCGGGTCGTCGGCGGCCCAGGGCGCGGGCATGCGGTCTGCGCTGCATGTGAGGCTGTGTGCGCGGCTGGCGCGTATGTTTCCGTGCGGAGAGGGACGCGCGCATGTGTTCACGCTGCGGGCGCGGGCGGGCGCGGAGGGCGGCGCGGTCTCACCGCGGTCCGACGTCGGTTGGTCTTCTGCGTGGCGAGGGCGGGCGCGCAGAGAGGCCTTGCCGCCATCGCGTTGCCGCGAAGGAAAAAGAAGTTGGCGACGAAAGTTGTGTAAGCTGCCCAAATCAGACGCTGGATCCTTAGCGGAGCTGAGTTCTGTCGGGAAGGAAAAAGAATCCCGGAAACCTGCGCGAGAACGCACCAGTGCTGTACCTTTTTTGCGCCATTTCGCTCTCCCTTCCACACACACAGTGGCAAACCACAACGCCACGCAGCAACTCAGAAGTCAACCGCAACAAGTCACAAGTCGCTTTAGACATGTCCAAAGTGCAAACCACAAACCACGTGAGGAACGTGGAACTGCCAACAGCACACGGTCTCTCCTTCGCTACGTGTTTGACGACGTCAAACAGTGTTTGACCACGGCGCTGTTCACAGCGCGCGCGGACGGCCGTTCTGAGAGTCTCTCTCCGCTGGACTTTTGTAAAGCATGCTTGTGGCAAGTTACGGACGCTAGTAGCGACCTCAGAGACCAAAACCCGAATTAATAATTAAGGCTCAAACTATGGTCAAACAACCGTCAAACAAACAGGTCAAACAACGAAAAGAGACTAGTGCGACCGCTAGACGGCGGTCTCCGCCGGCCCCAAGGCTGCCCAGCCCCAGTACCACACCGGCCACATACACCGTGGCGCTGGAGTCGGTCAGTGAGGCACTAGACGGGCTACGGAACCATGCGCGCGCCGGCCGGACAGGCTGCGCGCAGGGGCCGCGCCGCCTCGATTTCGCACCTCCGCTCCGCGGCCGGCTGAGGGGCTAGCTCGCCCGGCGACAAGCCCAGCCATCGCCCAGCGCCCCGTATCGACGGGGGGCACGCACAAAAACCGCACCTACGACTAGGGTGAGCCCGTGAGGGCGTCTGTGTGGGCCGCGGGCGGCTGCGAGGAGGGCGCGGGTGGGAGCATGGGAGATGCACCACCGCTCGACGAAGACGCGCCCGACGAAGCCCTGCTAGCGGAGGATGGTCGATCCTCACCTACTAGCGTCGGGCGTGTGCGAAAAAGAGCGCAAATCGGAGCTCAACTCGCGCGCGGCTGGGAAAGGGGTGTGGCACCCCTCCGAAGGCGCCTTGCGAGGAGCTGCTGCTGCCCCCAAACGCGCTCGGGCAGCACGTCGGCGCGCCTGCGGGGTGGGTAGAGGTGAAACTATGCTTGCTGGCACGCGCATCCCGCACCACCCCCACGTCCGCGCGCACCATGCCGCCATCCCACCTCACAGCCAAGCGCCATCGCCGTCGGACGCGGCGACGCCGAGCGGTGGCCTCGCAGACGACGAGCGCGATGAGGCCGCCGCGCCGCCGGGTTGGCCGGCGCGTGCCAGCCGCTGGCCCGTCCAGCGTGGCGGGACCTAGGGCGGGACCGGCTCGCCCATCCTGGCCCGCGCGCTTGCCGACGCGAGAAGATCGCGCGAGAGGGCAAAATGTGGCAAAATGGCCTGTTTGCCAACCCTTCACGGCGACTTCACGTCGGAACGAGTCGGATCGACGACTCGCCGCCTGCACCAGCGTGTGCGCCTTGCAATTCTACACAGAATCGATACTTGGTACGTCTTTCTGAATCGCTCGTGGAGAGGAGCTACGGCCATTCTCCACTCTCGAGGTTCTCGAGGTGGATATCCTTTGGCCGCGTTGGGTAGCGATTCTCCACTTGTGTTTGACGACGTCAAACACTGTTTGACGTCGTCAAACACGATCGAGTAACCGCACACACAAGGCGAAGGAAAACTCGTGCACGTCCCCGATTTGCTCTACCAGTTGCCCGTGGACACGACGGCGTCGGCGAATTTACGTACACGACGGTGCAATATCTACAAACTCGAGACAATTGGCTCACGCCAGGGCGCTCGTTGCTCCTCCGTCTCTTTGTATCTTCCATATAACTGCGTTTATCAGAAGACGAGACAATGCTCGCATGAATACGCTCACGTCCGCGAATCTAATAAATAACCCACCGGATTACTCAGGACGTCAGGAGGCCCCCCAGCATGGGGAACTTCACGTATCACGTTGTGGACGAGATGTCTCTCGCTTTACACAGAGCGGAACAGGAGCGCCTCAGTCGCCTAGCGGAGCTTCGCCGGACCGAGGTGCACACCTACGGCGCGCTGCATGCGAGCGCTCCCATCGCTGCTGCTGTCAAACCCAGCCCCCCGGTGAGTCAGGAGTGGGAAATTGGGCTTGCCAGCAAGTAGGGGCGCGTTTAGTCCAACGCATTCGCTCAGGAAGTACATGTATGTCATCTGAAGGTCGTCTTTGGATCAGCTCGGAGTCGTCTTTGGAGCAGCTCGGAGTCGTCTTTGGAGCAGCTCGGAGTCGTCTTAGCAGCTCGGAGTCGTCTTTGGAGCAGCTCGGAGTCGTCTTAGCAGCTCGGAGTCGTCTTTGGAGCAGCTCGGAGTCGTCTTCGGGCCGATCAAAAACATTCTCGGTGACGCAACATGTACATGCACATTCCCGCAGGTAGGAGGACTCTGACAGGATTTACAACTCACTCATCCTGTGGATAGCACTTTTCCAAAAAAAAGACAAGAGAGGTGAAAGCAAAAAAACAATCTCTTTTGTCTCCAAAAGCCCCAAGGGCTCGAGTTCGCCGTCGAAGCCAGGGACGTGTCCAACGATCGCCGCCACGATCCCCTCACCGATTCGAGGCGGCGTTGCTGGCTCTGTGCTGGCGATGCACAGTTTGCTCCTCTACGCTCTCGCTGCCACATGAACGGCGGTCCCTTCTCGACCGACCCAGTGGTGCAAGAGGATTACATTTCACCTCTTCCCGATGCAGCCTCATGGCCGTGCACTCAACCCGTCGTTCGAAGCACAGCGTCAGCCCGTGGCGCCCTGAGATGGACGCTTATGTGCTATTACGCCGTTTCCACCACCACCTGCAAAAAAGTCGCGTGCAATTCAGCTTCGGTGGATCATATCGGTCGGCGCGCTACATACCATCTCCGGGGGCGCTACAAGCTACATATCGGTGTCGATACGTAGCGCCCCCGGAGGCGATATGTAGCGCTGGGGATAATACATCGGTCAACGCCACGCGGTGTGAATTACTTCCCACCAACAAAGCACATATCGCCCGCCTCCGGTCCGCCTCGCCCCTACAACCTCATCACTCCCAAGCAAGTGTGACCTCCCCGGGGTAAGTAAAATCGTGTGCTGCCTGCCTTCACTTTTTGACGGCTAAAACCTGCCATTTTCTCATCCAATTTTGTGCAATCTGTCCAAGCGATCGTATGTATGTATGTAGGAAGGCGAAGAACAGTCAGGCTCGGACTGGACACCAACGCGGTATGGGTGGACGCTGGACAGATGATGACGACACGCACGAGCGACACACAGACACAAACAAGCTCACAAGACACACAGCCAGCGTGGCCGCCACACAACACCCTGAGTGGGCGTACACATCACTCAAGGCCACGTCCCCCCTGTCGCCCCCCCAGCATTTCAAGGTGCCAAGAGACAAACAACAGCACAACAACACAGACAGGCGACAGGGGCGAACGTGTGAGACTAGAGCAGGCTTGCTCCGCCTCTAGCAAGCTCTCATCGCCGGCCGCAAGGCACGGACGAGACCGTGTGTGGGGTCTTGTGAGGTGTCTATGGACGGCCTCCTCACAGGCTAGCGGCCAGCCGCCAGCCCTATCTCGCACTCATGGGTGACGACAGTTCATTGGATGAGTGGTTGCGATCATCAGATTAGTCCAAGCGAAAGAAAACGATGTCCGGGCTCTTTATATTCCGGCTAAAAATCGCTGAAAATCGGTTCGAAAAAGAATGTAGAATATGAAGAAAAGCGTATAAAGGCCAAGCTACAAGCTACATGTCGGGAGAGAGAGATTTTAGAGAGATTTTTAGCAATACCAACAAATTGGAGATGCGACGGCTGCGTGGATACGTGCTGGCAGGGTGACCCGTGTGCGGGGTAACCCGAGCACGGGGAAGCTTCACGGGTTCGAGTCGCCAAACATTAAGCAGCGGAGGTGTGCCGAGGGGGACCGGGAGGCGGTAAGCCGTCGTCGCCCGGCGCTGCTTGCAGCAGCCAGCACCGTGGCGATGGCGCTAAGAGGTTCCTCTTTTCCGCGCCCCCCCCCGCAAGGCGCGCGACACACGGCTTCGTTCGTTACGAAGCTGCCCCAGCAGGCGTCTTGACGGGTATCAAAATTTCTTCCCTATAAAGAGGCCCCAACGGACCCGAGAAACAAAATTTTGGAGGCGACCCCAATAAGGTTGCGGTCCACGGGCAGGGCACGGGCGCCACGCTCGCGGGCGGGCCTGTTGTTGGCGTCACCTCTGCCCTACAGCGGCACCTACGCCGTGAGCGGACCCCTCTTCTCCTCCATTATTAGGCCATCCCCGGATAGTTTGGGCGGTCCAAGTGCCTTCTTCTCGCAGGCGGTCCGCGCGTGCCAACTAAGTTTGTCATGTCGGTGTCGATACGTAGCGCCCCCGGAGGCGATATGTAGCGCTGGGGTTATACATCGGTCAACGCCACGCGGGGTGAATTACCTCCCACCAACAAAGCACATATCGCCCGCCTCCGGTCCGCCTCGCCCCTACAACCTCATCACTCCCAAGTGTGACCTCCCCGGGGTAAAATCGTATGCTGCCTGACTTCACTTTTTGACGGCTAAAACCTACCATTTTCTCATCGAGATCAGAATCTCGCTCAAATCTCGTATTTGTCCAAGCGAAAAGAATTTTACAACAAAACTCCCTCGAACGACACTTTGCACGGGACTAAAAGAAAAGAAAACGACGCAGCGCGCCAGCTCTCCATTTGCGACGCGGGCTGACACCGTCGGGGCGCGCGCCACGCCCCACACACCGTCGCCAATCCACCCCGTGATTCGACGGTCTCGCCCGACATTCCGCCTTCGCCGTGACGTGTCCCAAACGAGCTGGGGTCGGTTGCCACTCAACACTCGCCCAGCCTTGCTGCGCAGCTGCGCACGCGTGCCACGGCCAGCCGCTCTGTCGCAGCTGACCCAGCGCGCGTGCCGGCTGGGCCGAGGGCTAGGGCCTCGCGCTCCTCTCCTGTGCTCTGCTCACCCTCCACGCGGTGGCGGCCGCAGGCGCAGCGGCGACACCGAGGCGCAGGGTAACCCACATTAACGTGACATGGTTGCCACCAAACCGCACGCGGTGCCAAAGTCAAAGGGCGGCATCGACGCGGAGGACGCTCGGCGGCGGCGCGAGGCGTCGACCATTCAGATCCGAAAGGACAAGAAGGAGGAGGGGCTGCAAAAGCGGCGGCGGCCCGCGGCGGCTGCAGCGGCGGCGCCCTACGGTGGCAGCTCGTCGTCGCAGCCGCCCCAGCAGGCGCGCACGGCGACGCGGAGCGCGGAGGCTCCCGAGCCCGGGCTGGCCGAGACGCTCAAGTCTCTCCCCGAGGATGTGCAGCTGCTCAACTCGGACGACCGCGGGCAGCAGCTCGAGGCGTGCATACGGCTGCGCAAGCTGCTCTCGATCGAGCGGAACCCGCCGATCGCCGAGATCATCGAGGCGGGCGTGGTGCCTCGACTGGTGCAGTTTCTCCACTGCTTTGACGACCCCATGCTGGCGTTTGAGGCCGCGTGGGCGGTGACCAACGTCGCTTCGGGCACCTCGGAGCACACGTGTGCGCACCTAGCCCCGCGGCGGCAAAGCCGCGGTGCTCCCCGGGCGCGATTCGTTCGGCCGCTCACACCGCGCCGCGCCGCCACCCAGGCGCGTCCTCCTCGACAACGGCGCCGTGCCGGTGCTGGTGCAGCTCGCTCTCCACGAGGACTCAAACTTGCGCGAGCAGTCGATGTGGGCCTTGGGTGGGGGCGCACCCGCCGCCCTCCCCTGCCGCCCCTCACCTCCGCCCCCCCCCCCCACCCCCACCCCCCGCCCCCCCCTGCACCCCGGCGCGCGCGCAGGTAACATCGCGGGCGACTCGCCGCGGTGCCGCGATCTGGTGCTGTCGTACGGGGTGGTGCCGCGCCTCCTGCCGCAGTGCGAGTCCTGCGAGCAGCCGCGGGCGGGGACCTCGGTGCGGGAGGGATGTGGGGGGGAGGGGGGAGGGGGGAGGGGGGGGGGGGGGGAGGCCGAGGGGAGACCACGAGCGCGCACGCCTTGATGCATGACCCCCCCCCCCGTCCTGCCCACGTTTGCCAGGCGGGACCGTCGCACCTCTCCTCCCACCCGCACGTGTACCAGCCTCCTCCGGGAGGAGGACAGGCGAGCCTCGTCGCACAGCCGCTGCTCTCGGCCGCGCCAACGATGCAGCGGAACGCCACGTGGCTGCTCTCCAACCTCTGCCGCGGCAAGCCGCCGCCCCGTTGGGCGTTGGTCGAGCCCACGGCGCACTTTCGGATGTGAGTCCGCTCACCGGGGAATGACTTGAAGCACCGGTCTTTGCGTGAACAGGTGCCGGTGCTGGTGAGGTTGCTCCAGCGTCAGGCGCGCCGCACCTCACCCTCTGCCCCCGTCTCACCCTCCTCTCCCCACCATGCTCTCTATCGTGTGCGCCCATTCTCCTCAATGCCACCATCCGGGCTGCGACCGCTCTGCTCCTCGCCGCCAACAGCAACCGCTTCCCTCGCCATCACCACCGTCGTCGCCGCTTTCGCCCCCACCACCCTCATCCCCACACTCGCCACCGCTTCAGACCGACGATGAGGTGCTCACCGACGCCTGCTGGGCAATCTCGTACCTCTCGGAGCCGCCCGAGCGCATTGCCCCGCTGGTCGAGGCGGGCGCCATTTTGCCGCTCGTCGCGCTCCTCTCGCACACGATGCCCTCTGTGCAAACGCCGGCGTTGCGCGCCGTGGGGAACATTGCAGCGGGGACGGCCGCGCAGGCGGCCGCACTCATCGCGGGGGGCGCTCTTGGCCCACTCCAACGGCTGCTGAGCACGGGCCAGACCGGAGTTGCGCGAGCAGCCGCCCGTAAGACTCCCCGTACGACGCGCCCGTGACGGCGGGAATAGGTAAAAAGGAGCTGCGCAAGGAGGCCGCGTGGATGCTCTCCAATCTGACCGCCGGCGACCGGGAGCAAGTCGCTGCCGTCTGCGCGGCCGGGGTCGTGCCAAAATTGCTCGACATGGCGGCGCACGAGGAGTACGAGATCAAGAAGGAGGTGGTCTATGCGCTGTGTAATGCTTGCTGCTTTGGCTCCGCGCAAATTGTGTGCACTCGCCCCCCCCCCCCCCCCGGCACCCTTCTCTGCTCGTCGCTTGCCGCCCCGCCCCTCCCAGCCCATCCGCCCGCCCCTCGGGCGACCGTCCTTCCCCCACCGCCTTCTCTCCCACAGGCTTGCGGCCTCGCCCAGCTCGGCATCGTCGTGCGGCTCTGCGATTTGCTCGAGCTGCCGGACGCGTCGCTGCTGCTTGCGGCGCCCGTGCCGGTCGAGGCTGCGGGGTGCCGGCGTGCGCGTGCTTATGCGCACCCGCCCGCGCCGTAGGTGCTCGAGGCGCTCGAGGCGCTGCTACGAGCCGGTGGCGACGGCTTCGGTATCAATCCGCATGCGCGCTTGGTGGACGAGGCGGGCGGCTGCGAGAAGATTGAGGCGCTGCAGATGCATGAGAATCCAGAGGTCTTCGAGAAGGCGCAGGCGCTGCTCGAGGCCTTCTTCGGCGCAGACGAGGACGAGGAGGACCCGCTGACGGCACCGCTCGCCACAGCAGAGGGCTTCAGCTTTGGCTAATTGGGAGTGGGTGGGGGGGGGGGGGGGGCCTTTAGGGGGGGGGGGGCTTTCCGCCTGTCCAGTTTTCCAAACCCCCATCGAGCGACCCGTAATAGAGAGAGTTTGGCCGCCTCGCGCCGCGTCACACGCGGCCGTGCGGCGTGTGTGCCAGTGTGCGCGCCTCTCTGACATTCCCTGATGTACAAAACGAAATCCGGGAGCACAATTGAAACTTGCGCCGTGTGTGTCAAGGTGCCAAACTCGACACCTCGACACACCTCGACCTTCGACAGGCTTCGACAGGCCTCGACACCTCTATCCCTCGACACCCCCTCGACACCGGGGGGTCCGGGCCTCCGACACCTCGACACCAGGGCTCAGGCCACCATATTGTTAGGGGGAAATACTGAAAAATGGGACCCCCGGACGGACCTTGCTTTCATACCGAGCGTGAAGAGCTGAGTCTCAGCTTTCAGACCCTGCAAAAATCATTGAAAAATATTAAGATGGTCCAGAATGGTGACCGAAAGACTCCGGCGCCGCAGCGCTCGCGCTTGCTTTCCTCGCAAATGCGACAAGTGAGGCCGCTGAAAGGGAAAAGAATGATGGCGTCGAAAGAAAAACCGCAAGGCAAGACCGCAAATGCTGCCGCTCCTGGTGAGCGCCAGCCCGCGCCGCGTGCAGGGCGTGTCCGGGGCGCCCTCCCCCCGAGTTCCCCCGCAAAATCCGGCCCGCGGTCGCGCGCGCGCTCCCGTACCGCTGCTTTGGAGGAGTCTGCAGCCCCGGGCGCGCCCGCACGGCGATTGCCGCCTCCACTCCAACCTCATCCACTCTCACTCTGACATTCTCTCCAGAGTCCTCGCGTCGAGCCCGTGGCGCCGGAGCGCGAGCCCCAAGCTCGGGACACAGCGGGACATTGACGATCTGCGATGCCTGTGCGTGCAGGTGATCACGATGAGCACGGCGCCGGCGGTGGCAAGCTTCCTGGTGCTCCAGGCGCGCTGCGCCCGCGCGTCCGCGACGCCCGTGTGTGCCCCTGCGCGCGCCCCGCTCGCCGCGCCGCCGCCGGGCCCGTGGGGGTCTCAGGTTTGCGCGTGTGTGCCGCAGATGTCACGACCGAGGAGCTCCAGCAGATCCTCCAGAACGTGCAGGCCGAGCTTGAGCGGCGCGCGGCGCTGCAGCGCGGGGCGCCCGAATCGAAGCGGTGCGTGCCCCCCCTCGCCGTGGCCGCGCTCGCCCCGCCTTGGCGAGCTTTTGCCGCGCGCGCAGGAACTCGATCTTGTGCGCCTCGGGCAAGGCGTTGCCCAGCGAGGCGGAGGTGCACGCATGGGCGCTGCTCGTCACCCAGGTGCCCAAGGGCCCGCGGAGCTTCTACAAGGACGGCGAGGCGGCGAGCGTGCGGTGGGACGCCAACGACCGCGTCTCGCCGGCCGAGCCCGAGTCGGACGGCTTGTTCCAACGCGGACTGCGACGGTGCGTGGCGGCTGGACCTGGACGCGCCGGCGGCGGCGGCGGCGGCGGCGGCGGAGGACGAGGAGATGGAGATGGAGGCGGAGGTGCAGGCGGAGGTGCAGGCGGAGGCGCAGGTGGAGGCGGAGGCGGAGTCGGAGGCGGAGGCGGCGGTGGCGGCGGCGGCGCCGAGGCAGCGCGGGGCGCCGAAGAAGCGCGGGGCAACCGCAGCAGGCGTGGCGGCTGACGAGGCGGCGCCACAGGCGCGCGAGGCGCAATGCACGTTGAGTCTGCGGCACATGCAGTGGACAGCAAACACATAGGGTGATGCGGCACGGCGGTAGATGGCCGAGGATGCAGACGGACCGTTGTATGTGTGTTGTGTATATGCTGCTGCCGAAGAAGGTCGAGGCCTTCGCTGGTCACAGCGCGTGTCGTCGCCGTGTCGGCTGGAGCATTCCACAGCCTCGCCCGCACCGCCGACGGAGCTGTCTTCACGTGGGGCAAGGGCGAACACGGCTGCCTAGGCCACGGAGAGGACCTGCCGAACCAGCTGCTGCTGCCAGGCTAGTTCCATTTCACAGTGGCACAGCCCGCGTTACACAATCTTGATTTTGGTCATTTGCGCCATTTGGTACCTCTCGGTGCCTTCCAGAGGCAGCTGCGACCCCGCCGAGTAGACGGTGGCACACAGCAGGTGGCGCGGCGTGCAACCGTCCACTCGGCGGGGTCGCAGCTGCCTCTGCGCGTACTGGGGATGTACCTTTGTCGCGCGCCGGAGACGACTCGACGCCGCTGAGATCGGAGATCAAGCTCTGACAGGTCGCACGTCGCTCCTTTGACCCCGACGTGACTCACCCGTACAGAGCGCATCATAACACAGTCTCGACGCGCTTGGTACGACGCCTGCGACCCGTCTTGGGTCAGGTGGCACGACGCTCATCGCGCCTACCAGCGCTGCCGTGCAGGCTGCCACGACGAGGTCGAGCACGCTTCTATACGCTCGCCCAGCCTTCCTTTCTATCCCATTAGGCAGCCTGGGAACGGTGGCGATCAGAGGCAAAGCCTACGAGGGGTGGTGGAACCACATGTCACGGCCACCGCCGGCTCGACGCCACGATAGCCTCCGGAGGCTGACTTTGAGGCACAATCATCGGACGATGTCGACGAGTTGGGTCGCTCTCGCGGTAGCCAGATGACCTCCCATACTAGTATCATCCGACATGGCCGCAGGGAGCGCGGGGGAGGGCGCTGGGAGCAACACGGAGCTCCGTTGGACGCGTTTTCAAGATTAGCGTGTCAAAGTGAATTGGAACTAGCCAGACTTCGACCAGTCGGCCCAGGTCGGCGCCATGCACTGGCGGGCTGCACAGCGCGCTAGATTACGCGGAGGACGTGCGCTTACCACCGGGTGGGATTACCAGGCTCGCCTGGGCTCGCTGAGGGTCGATCGCGGCGCGACCCGTTTCGGCTGTTTTCGCCTCGCGAAACTGGGATGCGCGCCGGGAGCTGCAGCGCCAGCGTTTCGCGGACCTGTGCAGCCTCCGGGCACTGTGAACTTCTCCCAGGCTCGGGCAATGCGGGCACGTGCCAGCGGGGGCGCGGAGGTGGTTTACATGCGGATGCGGCACGATCTTCGAGCCGAACCGACGATACAGGAGGCTCCAGAGGCGCCGTAATCGATAGTTGGCCGTCACCCAACTCCTCGCCCACCGTGACTGCGGGTGTCTCCTGATTGCCCACGCTCGTGGCGGAGCTCAGGGTAGCATTCTGGGCCATGGGACAAGCCCTGGGGAGTAACTGTAGCTCGCGCGGGGCTGAGAAGCGCCCATTCCCGAGAAAAATCGAGATTTGGCGAGATATACATGTAGGGGGCGGTTCTCATTATTTTCGGTGGTCCCAAAGCTACCCAATCACTCGCCTACCTCCCCCGAGCAGTCTAGGACAAAAAAACCGCGCCCCGATCAAGTTACGTTTTCAGTGTTTGCCCCTAATATTGTGCATACCCCGTTTTGCTGTTAGGGACGGCCTCTGCGGCAAAGTCAAACCGCCCCACCGTACCACCACCACCGTAGCAAACCTTCGGCTCCCGCTCAGAGGCTCGCCGCGCCCGTGCGGCGCGCCGAGGCGGCGCCGAGGCCGGCGCCTTGCACCCGGCCCGCGGCCGGCACCGCCTCGCCCCATGGGCTCCTCAACTTTCGGAGCGCTCCGACGCGCACATTCACCTCGTCGCCACCCCGACGATTTCCGCTTACGCGCACTTTCATCGCCAGCCCACCCTTGAGGACCTCCGCGCCAAGCTGCACCGCCGCGCTCGCGACGCCGCCCTCAACGCAACCGACGCCACACTGCTGGCGGTACGCGAGTCGGAGTGGGAGGCAAAAGCTAGATAGACATGCGGCATTCACTGGGAGCTGGTATGCTTGCTCGCCTCGCCTCACCTGCTGCCTTCGCACGGCGTTCACGGTGCGTGCCATCGCTGAGGTGCCACGCACGCCTTCACACTGTGCAGGTGGAGAATGCGAGTCAATGGGCGCTCGAGGGTTCGGAGGATTCAGTCAGCGTGCTTCGGCTGCGCCGCAAGCCCGGCGACAACTCTTTGGGGGCGACCCTCGGCCTTCGCTCACGTTCCAAGGTCAGTCGCAACCGACTGCTCATTTCCCCTCCGCAGCCTGCGCCTTACGTCTGAATGCCACTCCTCCCACCACACGCCGTTGCCGTCTATGCTGCCGCTGCCGCGGTGTGCCCGTCCACCGAACCCGTCCGCCGGCGACCCCTCAGAACTGGAGCACAGCCATGCGCGGCTCGGGGGGCGACTATGCGGCGGTGCTGGCAGTTGGACTGCCGCAAGGCGGTGCCTTCAGCAAACTTCTCTTCACGGGTAAACCACTAGTGATGGTAGCCACCTCCATTCAGAGGTCGCCGTGCCATAGTGCGTGCGTGCGAAATGACGCGGCAGTTGCAATGAGATACTCCCAAAGCTTGGTAGGTGTCAACCCCGTGTCCGCCGCGCGCGCACTGCGCACGGGGAGGCTGAGGACGGACCAGGAGGCAGCTGCCGACGTGAGCGGATGGGGTGGTAGGGGCGGGGCCGCCATCACATTTTTCGGTCGCTGGACCACTCTAAGCATCGCCCTCGCTCCCCTGAACGGCGTCTCTTCAGGTTGTCGGCCAAGTAGGCCACGGGACGTACTTGGCCGCAAGCCCCGACACGGCACGCCACTATGCGCTCGCCGTCAACACGGGGCGCGTGTTGCCCGCCCTCGAGCGTGCATCGGCCATGCGCGCACACTGCCTCGTCGACGTCCCAGAGCAGTATCGCTGGCGACTTACCGAGAACAGGTCCCAAAATTCACCCTTCCCGAGACGTTTTGGGGGCGCCGAGGGTGACACCCCCTCTTCCACGCAACTCTGTCACTCAGGAGCCTGCGATGGGATGCAGAGCGGATGGCGCTACCCGCAACCTACCTGGCGGTCGCGGCGGACCTGACAACACTCGGGGAGGGCGGACGTGACGCCGCCGTGCAGGACCGCTCCAAGCACAATCCATCCTGGCTATTGCTCTGCCCGGCTGTGTATCATGGAATCACTGACTCTGCAGGTCCACACCAAGATGGTGCCACGGAGTCAGATGGCATCCCCGTCGGCCACGGTGCAAAGCGAGTTTGAGTATGTCTTCGCGCCGCCTTCCAATGCCAAGCTACTGCGGCCGGTGCAGCTGTGGGCCATCGGCCTGCCCGCCGAATACCCAGGTGCGGGGCTGGCGAGCAAATACGGAGACACACTCGTGCCTTTCGCAGCGGGTTAATGCGCACTACGCCCCCCCTCCCTCCGTTTCTCGAACCCAGTCACGCCCATGTCCTCTCAGAGATTTGCCTGCGCTGGCTGTGGGAGGAGGCGCCCATCGACCACGCGAGCCGAATTGTCGCGCTGCAGAGCGCAGAGGGCATCGCACCGTCCGCCAATACCTGACTCACTAGAATGTACAAAAGACATGCGCCGTTCTGTCGCGGCTGGGAACTAGCGGCGGCGAGGGTGCGCGCCAAGTCCAAATCGCAAGGTTCGACCGCTTTGATTCGGCGTGTGCCTCGAGACACGTCATCGACGAGAAGGTCGATCTCAGAGCTCCCGTTGCTGAATGGCGACTACTCAGACACCACTCTCTCACCAATGTACTGTACATACGCATATACCTACGACTACCGTGTGAGCACACGCTTCGCCCCTCCCGCGACTTCAAAGAAAATAAAAGATAGACTCAGTCCGCGTTTGGAGGCATTGCGCTGGGCAGATATACAAGCGAGCGCGAGATGCAGGCGAGATGATGAATAAAAAGAAAAGGGAAGTGGCTCTCCGGAGCCCAGACAGCAAACACCTCAAAGTCCGTCTGGTCCGGTCTCAGCGCCAGCACACCCCCGTTCAGGTATAGGACACAAGGCCCTGCGCCCTTGTCGTACTTGGAGTCCAGCTCGGCTGCCCCGCAGTCAGTTGCGGGGTCATCGTGTGCGATCGCCGCCCGCACACGCAGCCCCAGCATCCCTGCGCGCTTCTGGTTTTTTGCGCCATGTGGCCCAAACTTCGGCAATGGTGACGCGAATCACGATCAGGGCTTTGCAGAGGGCACACCGTCTGTCTGCGGCGAGAGCCTCCCTCACCGGGTGGATCACCCCTGGCGTGCGCAACGCGGCCGGTGCCGCCTTGACCGCCGCCTCCGCCTTGGCCGCCGCCTCCGCCTTGGCTGCATTTTTGTTCGAATCACGAATGGGGGGCCCATGGTTGCCTTAGACGGATTTCTCTTTCCTGTGTTAGTGCCAGTGCGCGCCAGGCCCCGTCCCCAGTGCTGTGGCCTGTGCGAGGGATTGTGGGTAAAACGCTTGTAATTTTCTCACAAGCGCGCCAGTCCCGTGAGAGCGAGTGAGGTGGTAAAATTGCTTGCTGTCACCCGAAAGGGCGACATGATGGTGTTTTGACGCGAGGGCGTGCGAGCGCTGCCGAAGAGGTGCGGAAATCGACGAATTACGCCGGGTAAGCGGAATTCAACAAACTACGCCACAACGGGTCCTCTCCCCGCGCCTCACGGCACTCATCTCCGCGCGCATAGCTCTCAAAAAACAAACTTGCGCCCCGATCAGCTCGGGCTAGAGCTTATAAAGCCTGTCCACCTACAGTGGGGACACCGTGCGCACGACGGGGCAATCCTAGCGCAGGCCCCGCACGCGGCCCTGCTGCCCTCCCGTCGGCTGAAATCGACCAGGCCCATCGCCGTGGGCCCACCGGCGACTGCGGCGGCCCTAGCACCGGCCGATTGTTTGAGCGATGGCCTGTGCTGCGGCCGTCTCGGACGTTTAAGCGGCGCCAGCCAGCGGCTCGGCCGCGCATCCTTCACACACGCCGCCACGACCGGGATGAGCGGGCCCAGTGTCGAGGTCTGGTGCGAGCTGCATGTGAGGGGCGGCTGTGGCCACAGCAGGTCCACCAGACGGACCTCAAAGCTTGCCGTCGGCGTGCTGTCGTGGCGAGAGCGCGAGACAGCTGCAGAGGAGCCGAGTGCAGTGGCGATCCAGAGGCTACCTGGGTCACCAAGTGGTAGCCCTTGCCCATTCTGAGCAGGGCTGTGCTTTGGTGGGGTTGTGCTTGAGCGTGTGTGAAGTGGGAGTGCGTGCCGGCGGTGTCTGTGGGTGAAACGGGCGTGTGTGAGGCCGTAAGAGCCATGGTATGAGCCAGAGTGGGCTTCATCACCCAAAATAAGGACGGTTTGGGACAGCTCAGGCTTGATACTGATGGGCCTTGGCCAGGAAAGCGACAGAGAAGGCGAGATGGTGAGCTGGGAAGCCGCTTTGTCTGCACCTGGACGTGTCGTGATGAACTGCCGAAAAGTACTATTTGCGGCTATTGCTCAAAAGTTCGGGAGACAAGGCCTACCTATTATGACTGCATCCATGCGTCTCTGGTGCATGAGGGCCGCGGGTCGGGACATATCACGGTCGGTGGCGCCGATAATGACCTCCGGAATGCCTCGCAACCGCTCGGCAAGGGGTCCACCGGAGACAATCTCGAGCCCTCTCCGTGGCATCACGAGCCGGTGTGAGCTTGCAGACACAAGGTAAGTGCGGTCTGGGACGGCTCAGGCGTGCTACTGATGGGCATGGGCCAGGAGAGCGACAGAGAAGGCGACGTGGTGAGCTGAGAGGCTGGAGCGTCCGTGTGTGGCCTTGTCTGGAAGCTCGTGCCACGAAGCGCTATTTCCTGCTCTCAGGTCACCACCTCGCCCTCTCTGTCGCTCTCCTGGCCCAGGCCCATCAGTAGCAAGCCTGAGCTGTCCCAGACCGCACTCATCTCGGGTCTTCAAGCTCACACCGGCTCGTGATGCTCCGGTGTAGGCGCTCGAGAGCACTCCCGGTGGCCCGTGCCGAGCGATTGTGAGGGCTTTACGGAGGTCATTGTCGGCGCCACCGACCGTGAAATGTCCCGATCCACAGCCCTCATGCACCAGACGCATGGATGCAGTCATAATGTGTAGGCCTTCTCTCCAAAGGTTTTGAGCAATAGCCGCAAAAGGCGCTTCTTGGCACTTTTCATCGCGACACGTCCAGGTGCAGACAAAGCGGCTTCCCAGCTCACCACCTCGCCTTCTCTGTCTCTCTCCTGGCCAAGGCCCATCAGTATCAAGCCTGAGCTGTCCCAAACCGCCCTTATTTTGGGTGATGAATCCCACTCTGGCTCATACCACGGCTCTTACGGCCTCACACACGCCTGTTTCACCCACAGACACCGCCGGCACGCACTCCCACTTCACACACGCTCAAGCACAACCCCACCAAAGCACAGCCCTGCTCAGAATGGGCAAGAACCACCACTTGGTGACCCAGGTAGCCTCTGGCTCGCCACTGCACTCGGCTCCTCTGCAGCTGTCTCGCGCTCTCGCCACGACAGCACGCCGACGGCAAGCTTTAAGGTCCGTCTGGTGGACCTGCTGTCGCCACGGCCGCCGCGCACATGCAGCTCACATCAAGGCTCGACACTGGGCCCGCTCATCTCGGTTGTGGCGGCGTGTGTGAAGGATGCGCGGCCGAGCCGCTGGCTGGCGCCGCTTGAACGTCCGAGACGGACGCAGCACAGGCCACGCGTCGCGCCGCCGGCCAAGCCCAGCCTCTCGGCGGACCCCGGCCGTGCCAGAGGCAGCCCAGGTGGCGCGTGGGGCCGCGGCTCGGCGCTGGGAGCGCGCACGGGGCCGTCCTCCTAGTAAGGCCGACCACCTGTAACGGCCACACCCCTGTGAAGAGAGCTTGGATTGCCCCTCGACCCGCACGCGAAGTCCCACTTTGGCATGCTCGTGCTCGTCGCCATCTTCGTCTTTTTTGCTCATTCTTCTTGCGCGTCCCAGCGGCCCTAGTGCCACCAGCAAGCAGCCGGCTGCATGGGGCGAGAGGGTGCGTTTGAACGGCCTTTTCAAAGGTGTGAAAAACAGGTGGACAGGCTTTATTTGTGGACAGGCCGCCTCACACATGTAATGCAGGCCGCCTCACACCCACTTGCCGCCCCGCCCGGCGGAGCGGCCGGGCCGAGCGGCGTGATGGACGTGACGGCGGTCTTTGCGGAGTCCGATGATGAAGATGACCATCCGGCGGCGCGGCTGCCGACCTTCCAGGCGAGCAGAGGGAGTACTTTGGTCAGATGCATCTTTGGTCAGAGCCGCGAGAGTTCGTGTCAAACCGCCGCCTGCAAAAACACGCCCTGCCGTGCTCACTCCGCAGGTCAATCACACCTTTCTCGAGGACAACGCGCAGACCCACACGTCGGCGATGTCTGCGTTCGGCGACGTCTTCGACAATGCACGCGAGTCCAAGGCGCGCTCGCTGCGCATTTCATCCGCCTCTCGGCCGAGTCGACGTGGCAAGAGCGCGAGGCGTGGACTGCGAGCTGTCCATGTCTCCGCCCGCCCTCGCTCTCTGACCGTCCCTTGTCATGAGAGCCAGGTGCCTTCAGTCCGTGCTAGTCCTCTCGGACGACGGCCGCGGCATGAGTGAGCGCGAGGCGCGCGCGAGGGCGACGGCCGTCTTTCATGCGGCATGTCCTCACCAATCGCTAAAACCACTCAGGTGCGCGCGGCTCGTCTCGATTCGGCTAGACACGCGATGGGAATCAGTGAACGAGGAATGAATCAGTGAACGACCTCCAGGTGCGGGAGGGGCTCATGTCCATCGGGTACACGCGCAAGACGGACCTGTCGAGCGGCCGGCACTACGGGTTTGGCGCGAAGACGGCGCTGCCGCGGCTCGCAGATTACGCTCTCGTCTTCACGCGCGACCGCAGCGGCCGAGACTAGCCGAGATCAGCCGAGGTCAGCCGAGGTCAGCCGAGGTCGGCCGAGATCAGCCGAGGTCAGCGGAAGGCTATCCTCTCCCCTCGATCAAGGCGCCTGATCGATTCGTGGTTGACTGGCCAGGTCGCCGCACAGTCGGGCTGCTCTCCTCCTCCTTCTCGAGGGCGATCGACGCAGACCAGCTGCGGCTGCCCCTTTGCACGTGGGAGGCGGGACGCGACGCTCTGCTCACCGGCGCGAGCGAGGAGGCGCAGCCGCTGCGCACGCGCTGACTTCGGCCGACCTCGGCGGATCTCGGCTGACCTCGGCTAATCTCTGGCTGACCTCGGCTGATCTCGGCTGACCTCGCCGAGCCCCTCCAGGCGCCGCTGCGCACGCGCCAGCGCGAGGCGTCGCTCCAGATGCTGCTCGAAGAGTGCGAGGGGCTTCCCTACCTCTCCGAGGCCGAGACTAGCCGAGATTAGCCGAGATCAGCCAAGATCAGCAAAGATTAGCCAGGGGGCTGTTTTACCTCTCCGCTCCGAGGCCGCGCCGCCCTTCAGGCCCGCCCCCCCGTGAACGGCGTCGATTCACACCTGCGTCCGAGAGCAGGCGGAGCTGCTCGCAGAGTTCGCGTCCCCAGGCTGGTCGCAGAGCGGCGGCACGGGCACACGCATCGTCCTGTGGGGCGTGCGCAAGGACCGCGAGTTCGCCCGTGGCGAGATTGCCCGAGATCGCCCGAGACCACCCGAGATCACCCGAGGTTTAGGACCTCGAGTTCGCCGCGGTGGCGCGGAGGCTCAGGGGGGACATCGTCGTGCGAGGCTCGCCTGGCGCCACGCCGCCCCTCTCGCACCAGCGCTCGCTGCGGGCGTACGCCGAGGTGCTCTATCTCCGGCTGAGCGGGCAGGGGGTCGTGCCGCGCCGGCGGATGCCGTTCACGCCGCTCGCGTTCACAGCTCATCGGCGGCAGCTTGTGAACAGGTCGAGCCGACCATGGAGATCGTCATCGACGGGCGGCGCGTCGCGCGGGTCACACCGCGACGCTGTGAGCGGCGTCTCTTCACAGCTGCAGCCGTGAACAGGCGCGTCGAGCCGCGCGACTGGTCGACCTACCTCGAGGGCGGGATGCGCCGGACGGTGGCGCTGCCGAGGCCGAGACTAGCCGAGATTGGCCGAGATTAGCCGAGATTAGCCGAGATTGTGGCGCTGCCGAGGCCGAGCGCCGAGAGGGTGCAGCGCTCGATGAGCCACCCCTTCGGCGCTTGAGCGGCAAGTGGGTACGATAGGCCGAGCGCGGAGGACGTGCAGCGCCAGTTTGGAGAGGAGGCCGACCGGCAGGAATGGCCCAGCGCCAAGGAGCGGCGCGCTCGAGAGCTCGGTGCTGACCGGAGTGCTTCATCTTTTACACAGGACCGGCCGAGCGGCGGAGCGGCGCTCGAGTGCAGCCGCAGCGCGGCGGCGTCGCTCACGCTCGGCTACGCGCGCAGCTTCGAGGAGGTCGTGCAGGTGCTCTCCGCCGCTAGCAGCGGAGAGTCGGCGATCGCCGGCGAGAAGAGACTGCTCGCGGCGGAGGAGACGGGCATTTTCGTCTGCCGCAAGACGGGCGGACGGGATTTGAATCCATCGTTGAGTGGTCGTCATGAATGGCTCTTCAGGCATCTTCTTCTACCACAAGGGCCGGATGACGTCGTCGCCAAGCTCAGGCGGCAGCCGAGGCCCACGCGCCGTCTCGTTACACCTCGAGCCGTGAACAGGCGCGCCCTCGTCAAGCTCAAGCAGCAGGCAAGGGTGAGCGGAGCGACGCACACGGCGGCCTACCGCCTCACGACGCTCGGCGTCGGCATCACCGGATTCGTCCAGGAGAATTACCTCGTCCAGCACCACACAAAGTCAGAGTACAGCCCGAGCGTCGGGACAATCGAGCTGCTGCACCAGCTGCTCGAGGCCAGCGCAGATCCGTCGAGATTGGCCGAGATCATCGCTTCCCCCAGAACGCTCGAGATTGCCGCGGAGGGGGGGGGGTGGCTGGAGATCGCCCCAGATTGACCGAGGTTGCCCGAGTTCAGGCGGCCAATCGCAAGCTGCTCAGCTTCATCAAGCCGCGCGTCGTGCAGAAGTATTGCGCGCTGACCGGCGTCGCCTTCGACAAGATCAAGCCATCCGCCTGCATCGGCTTCTCGCAGGGTCTGGCCGCGACGATGCGGGCGGCGCAGGCCGCACACGCCGACGACTCACCGGGCCGTGCGGCGGCGGGCTCACCCGCCCGGCGGCTCGAGCTGGACGTGCGCATGCGGCCCGTCGATCGCAACGACGCGAGCGTGGGGCGGGTCGAGCTCGTGGCGGGTACGGGCCTAGGGCAGAGCCTGCCGCTGTACAGGCTTCGGCTCGAGCCCGACGGCGCCCTCTCGGCACGCACGTACAAGGATCGCGCTCCGCTCCCGCCCCTCGCAGCGCCCCTCTGCCCTCCCTGCCGCCCCTCTCCTCCTCTCGGCCACGCTCGGCTCGCGTCCCGCCACGAGCTCTCGGTCCCACTCGGCAGGAAAGGTCCAGGAAAGGTCCCGGCTTGCGTCCCGGCTGCGTCTCGGCTGACTTCTCGGCTTACACCTCGGCTACACCTCGCTAAGGCGCGCGAGCTCGAGCCGACAGTCTTCGACCCCCAGCGCGACTTGCCGCAGCTGCTGATGCCCGCTCCCGCCGTGCTAGACGGCAGCATCGCCCAAGTCCTTTGGCGCGACGGGCAGGACGGCGGCGCCTCGTGGTACACAGCCGCGGTGAGGCGTGCTTGGGGTCCGCCGAGTGCGATCGGCGGCGGCGGCGGAAGCGGCGGCGGAAGCGGCGGCGGAAGCGGCGGCGGAAGCGGCGGCGGAAGCGGCGGCGGAAGCGGCGGCGGAAGCGGCGGCGGCGAGGGGTGGTTCGTCTTGCAGTACTTAGACGATGCCGACTCAGACGAGCACGTCTTTGTTGGGCTGCGGCCGGGTGACGCTGCCGCGCACGCCGCCTTTCGCCCAGACGGCGAGCAGCTTCAGTGGCGGTTCGACCCGGCCGACGAGCCGACCGCGGTCCTCGTCGAGGCGGCGGCGGCGCAGCTGCTGCGCGCCTTCTTCTCCTCCGCCGCCGCCGCCGTCGCCGGCCGCATTGCGGCCGGCGAAGGCGCGCCCGGCGGCCTCGAGGAGGACGGCGCCCCTTCGCGGGCGGCCGGCGAGGCGGCAGAGGCGGCAGAGGACGCGGCGGTGACGGCGCCGGTGGCGGCGCCGGTGGCGGAGGCGGAGGGCTTGCGGTTGCACCTCTCGAGCACCAACGCGCGGGCGGTCGGCGAGGCGCCGGTGGCGGCGGAGGCGGCGGCGGCAGCGGCGGTGGTGCCGGCGCCGGTGCTCCACGAGGCGGTGGAGGAGGCGGAGGGCTTGCATTTGCACCTCTCCAGCAACAGCAGCACCGGCTACAAAGGAGTGTCGCGGCACTCCTCTGGCCGTTTCCAGGCGCAGAAAAGGGTGGACGGAAGGCAGATACACATCGGCTACTGCGGCACGGCGGTGGGGGCGGCGGTGGCGTATGCGCGTGCGGCCGGCGACGCCGGCGGCAGCAGCACGAGTGGCGGCGGCGTCTCCGAGGACGCCATGCTGGCGGCGGCTGCGGCGGCGGCAGATCCGCAAGAGATCGTTACGGCGATCGTGTGCGACGGCTGCGAGGCGGAGTTTGAGCTGCTGCCCGGCGAGCCCATCCCAGATGGCGACTGGTTCTGCGCGGCGTGCAAGCCCGCTCAGCCGCAGGGAACCGCGGCAGCCGCCGCTGGTTCCTCGACTTTGGGGGACTTGCCGCCGCCGCCGCCGCCGCCGCCGCCGCCGCCGCCGCCGCCAGCCAAACGGAGGCGGAAGCTGCCGCAGAACTTTTGGAGCCAGAAGGCCGAACGTCCTTCGCAGGGCGCAGCACGGAGCCCTGCGGCTGCGAGAGTGGCGGCGGCGAGCGGGGCGGCGCGGGTGGCGGAGGCTGCGGCGGGCTTGCGACTGCACCTCTCCAGCAGCAACGCGACCGGCTACAAGGGCGTGCACAAGCAGCCCTCTGGCCGCTTCCAGGCGAAGCACATGGTGGACGGAAGGAAGGTCGTCCTCGGCTCCTTCGACACGGCGGTGGAGGGGGCGGTGGCGTACGCGCGGGCGGTCGGCGAGGCGCCGGCGGGCAAAACCTCCGTCGCGGCTGCCTCCAGCTCGGACCGCCCCTTCGATGGAGCTGAGGCGCCGGATATGGTCGACATCTCTCCCCTTCTCCGCCTCCTGGAGCCTCACCAGCCGCAGGAGCCGGCGCAGCCGCCGCCGCCTGCGCTCTCGCCGGTCGAGCTCTCGCCGCTGCTGCCTCTTGACCATCCTTTCGCCGGCGAGGGCGGGGCGGCCCTTGGTGCCGTGGGCGGCGGCGAGAGCGAGGCAAGAGGCGGCAGTGGGCTGAGCACTTGAGAGCCCGCGCGCGATCTTCACGCGGCTTCTTCTGTGAGTAGGTCGGGGTGGGCGTGAGTGCGCTCGAGAGCACGCCCGCCGGCCTCGAGGTGGAGATGTGACCCGAGGTTGGCGGGGATTTGACCGAGGTGTCAGCAAGATCAGACGGCGCGTAGGTCGAGTGCGTCGGCCAGGCTGACTCGAGCGAGGACGAGATGGAGATCGAGGCGGAGATTGAGGCTGTCGAGGCGGGGGAGGGGGAGGGGGAGTGCAGGGCAGAGGGATCCGCCGCCGCCGCCCCACTCTTCGTTCCGCCCCGCCCGCCTCACGCCCCTTCGGCTAGCGGCGGCGGTAGCGGTGGGGAGTGGCGCGGTGGGGAGGAGGGTGGCGCGACAGAGGCGACGCGCGAGCGCGAACGGCTGGAGGCGCAGTGGGAGCGAGCGCGCCCGCCGAGATAGGCCGAGATCGGACCGAGGGTTGGACCGGTTTAGGAGGAGCTCGAGCGCACGCGCGGTCAGCTGCGCGGCTGGCTCTCCGCCCTGGTAGCGGTTGGCTCGGGCGATGGGGGGGCGGCGCTGGCTGCGCTGCAGGCGCCGCGACTGTCCCGACCGCCGCCGTGACCGCCACCCCGCTCCTGCTGCTCCCCTCCCCCGCCGACACTTTCCCACCACCACCAGCGCCCGAGGTTGATCGAGGCTTGTCGGACTGCAGGCCAGGGCTGCGGAACAATTGCGCGCGATGGGCGGGGGCGGCGGGGGCAGGGAGGGCGGGGAGGACGAGGAGGAGGACGAGGCGCCGCCGCCGGCGCGTTCGCAGGCGCAGGCCGGGCAGGCGGGAGGGGGTGATTCTTCCTCCTCCGCCACCACTTCCTCCGCGCCGCTCGGCTGGTCGACGGGCCGGCAGCGACACGCGCCCGCCCCGCGAGAGACGACCGCAGACCCTGTTGGCCGCCGCGACTGCAGTCAACATTTTGTGTAGGCGCCCGTTCGGCTCGAGGCGACGGCAGACCCGCGCCCTCGCCCACTCTGGTATCGCCGGGAGCTGCAGCGGCGGCAGCAAGGGGCGGAGGAGGGCGGCGGCGGCTCTGCGGCGGGCGGCGAGACGGCGGAGGGCGGCAAGGTCGAGGAGTGGCAAGCCGAGGCGCGGCTACGCTCTTGCGCGCGCGAAGGCTTGTGGAGACGCGCCCTTCACCTGCGACGCTCGAGTGAGCAGGGACCCCACGTCGGCCAGCGGCTGCTGCGGCGCTTCGAGGGGCACGAGGACATCGGCGCAGTGGTGCGGCTCTACCTTCCGCCGGGCGAGGCGGAGGACGAGCCCGCGCTGTGGCGGATCGAGCACGACGACGGCGAGATTAGCCGAGATTGGCCGAGATTGGCCGAGGTTAGCCGAGGTTAGCCGAGGTAGCGTCATTCACGCGCGCAGCCGTGAACAGGCGACGAGGAGGAGCTGGAGGAGTACGAGGCGCTCACAGAGACGTGACGGCGCTGAGTGGTACCGGCCCAGCAGTAGTGAGGCCGTTGACTGGTCCTCAGGTGCTCGAGGCGATGAGGCGATGTGGCGGCAGAGGTGGCGGCGGCGGAGACGGCGGCGATGGAGGTGGCGAGCGGCTGGAGGATTGCGAGGGCGAGGGGGAGGCGCCTGTGCTGCAGAACCCGTACAACCCACACGCAAAGGCTCCGCTCACGCCAACGAGGCCGGCCGCACTGTGAAAAACAAGCCTCTTTCACGCCAGCAGCGGTGAGCAGGCGTCGCACCATGAGATCCGCGCCGGCGCTGTCGTGCGCGTGTGGTGGACACCGTCCATGCTGCGGATCGGCTCCAATCAAGCCGCCGCAAGGGGCAGCGGCCGCTTCGAGCGCGGTACCGTCATGCGCTGTGACCCGCCGGAGCTCGCGCGGCGCCGCAACCGCCCCACCAGCCGCATGCGCGTGAACGGCGTCTCTTCACAGCTGCACCCGTGAGCAGGCGCGGGGGCGGCCTGACCGTCCGCTTCGACGTGTTTTACGCCCAGGACGGCCGTACGTTTCCCCACACGCTCGACGAGAACCACGTCGAGATCTTGGTGAATGTGTAGCCGAGAGCTTCCGAGATGGACACGACTCGCCCAGATCAACAGAGAATCTCCTCCCTCGGCCCTCACCTCACCCCTCGCCCCCCGCCCCTCGTCTGCCACCGCGCTGCAGGCCGAGGCACCGCCGTCCGCCTCCGCACCGCCCGCCCTGCACTCCGAGCGCACGCGCCACTCTGCGGCGACCTCCGAGGCAGCGACCTCATCACACCTAGTCCTCGAGGGCGAGGAGGGCGGCGAGGGCGAGGCGCCGGTGGCAACAGAGGCGGAGGGGCTGAGGCTGCACCTCTCACGGCGCGCGAGCACCGGCTACAAGGGCGTGTGCTTGCAGAAAGGCCGCTTTCGAGCGAGCTGCACGCGGGACGGGCGCAGCCTCTTCCTCGGCTACTTCGACTCGGCGGTGGAGGCGGCGGTGGCGTATGCGCTGGCAGTCGGCGAGGCGGCGGCGGAGGAGGGCGACGAGGAGGAGGGCGGCGAGGGGGAGCAGGAGAGCGAGGGGCCGGTGACGGAGGCCGAAGGGTTGCGGCTGCACCTCTCCAGCCGCAGCAGCAGCGGCTACAAGGGCGTACGACAGGCCACCAACTCTGACCGCTTCGAGGCGCGGTACACCAACTCTGGTACACGGTCGACGAACCGATACCTCGGCAACTTTGACTCGGCGGTGGAGGCGGCGGTCGCTTACGCGCGGGCGATCGGCGAGGCGGAGGACGACGACGAGGAGGACGAGGGTGGTGAGGAGGAGAGCGAGGAGGAGGAGGAGGAGGGAGATGACCCGGCAGCTTCATGGGCGCCCAAGCCGGGTTCTCTGCGCTACGACGTGCTCACGGTCCTTCGCTTCACTCGCCCGCGCCCCCTCTCACCTCACGCAGGCTAGTGACTCTGCACTGCGTCTGCCCCTAGGCGTTGCACGCGCTCTCGGGATCGGCGCGCGAGCAGGTCGCAAGCAGCGACACTTTGCGGTGTTTATGAGCGGATCCTCGAACATGCTGCGCCGGCTGCGGATAGGCGGGAGGCGAGCGAGGCTTCGCGCAATCTCGCTGAATCTCGGGTGATCTGGCGGTCTTGGAGAGGTAGGCGGGTGTCGGGCGAGACGCGATCGTGAAGCACGCACGCGAGAACGGCGCCGCCGCCGCGCCGCCGCGCCGCCTGTAGCAAACCATTGGGAAGCCTTCTGTCTGTGAGTAGGCTCCGCCATCACACGCGGCGACGACGACCTCGCGCTCTACCGCCAGGACGCCGTCGCGGCGCCGCGCAGACGAGGGGCTGAGAACAGGCATTTTCACGGCCGGCGTGAAGCTGTGAACAGGACGCCGTGACGGTGCTCGGGAAAGAGAAGCGAGCTCTGGTTCCGCTCTGGTTGCAGGCATGCGTGCACACACCCCACGCATGGCTCACCCGAGTGCTCCTGTTCCGGTGCCGAGGACGGGAGTCGTGGAGACCTCTTGGAGTGACACCCCCCCCCCCCCCTTTGGTTGGCAGGAGGACGCGCGCTACGTGCTCACGCGATTGGAGGGCGAGTCGCGCACTGGTGCGAGCACCGTCTCTTCACAGCACCAGGCCGTGAGTAGGTGCTCACGCCAGAAGGCCGCGCCGCCGGGCGCGTACAGCCAACGGGCGGTGAAGGGCGGCAAGGGGATCAGGACTCGGATCGGAAGCGGCAACGGCGCGCCTGAGTGAACGGCCGCTTGTAGCCCGTGGACGAGGCTCGAGGGCGCGTTTCCCTCGGCGCCCTCGACCGGACGCTGCGGGCCGCGGAACGCTTTTTCACGCTCTAGAGAGTACGTACATGTATGTTGTTGTATGAGGGAGGATTTTGTGATAGAGGAGACTACCGCGGAGAGTCCATACCGCCGCTGCACCCCTGGACAATTTCCCCCGGGCCCTTTTTTCTATTTCGCGCCATTCGCTCTCACCTGGCAACCCTGTCTGCACGTCTCGCGCGCGCGTGAACAGGGCTCCAGGCCCCAAATTACGTGTGAGTGTTAGAGTTGTTTTGTCGTATTTGTACACGTTTGAGAGAGAGATTTTTAGCAATACCAAACAACTCTAACACTCACACGTAATTTGGGGCCTGTTTTGTTTTTGCACGTTTGTGGTTTGAGGTATCGAGGAATTCTACCCTGTCTCTTGCGCACGCCCAGAGATGCAGCGGAACCTGTTGGACGGCTCGCCGAGGGAAAGAAAAGAGACGTTCGTTCTCAACACTGTGAATTCCCATTCCCAGGGGGGGTACACGGTTCGCCGAGAAAAGAGAAAAACTGCAGCGGAAAATCCGAACGCAACGAAGGGTGCAGAGCCGCCGCGTTCGACTGAGGTGAGCGCGTCGTCGCTGCCGCGGTTCGACTGAGGTGAGCGCGTCGTCGCTGCCGCGGTTCGACTGAGGTGAGCGCGTCGTCGCCGCCTCCATGATCCTGCGCACTGCCACGATACTCCTGGCCTTGCGTGTCGCCAGTGCTGTTCCCGGTTTCTGTCCAGGTAGACGGCAGCTGTCAAGCCAATTGTCGGAGGAAGTTGTGCGGCCGATTGGCCAAGGGGGTGAGCAAGAAGTCGTGCGGCCAATAGCCGCTTCGTGGTCGTCAAGCAGCCCCTACTTCGATGGCCAGGTGAATATCCGCCTTCTCTCGGTCCTCGTGGAGACTAACGGGTGGTATCCGAGTTATGCAGGCAGCACCCCATCTGCGCGAGAGGCGTGGGTGGTGCAGCAGCGCAGCATCATGGATCAGGAGTTCCGCTTCTCAACCTATGGTAAGCTCGGCTTCGACCTCGAAAATTCACGTGTCGTCACCCGCGACCTCACGGGAGTGTCGAAAGTGCAGCATCCGACGGTCTCAAGCAGCAGCGGATGTAGCCGACAGGGCTTCGACCTGCTTGCCACCGCCGCTTGCGAGCTCAGCGAATCTGTTGATATGAACGACATCGACGCGATCCTGTACTACTTGCCAGAGTCCGCGACGGAGTCTTGCGCCTCAAACCCATCCAACCCCACGGGTGGGGGGATTATGGGCAGCTGCTATACGGGCATCCTACGCAAGAATAGTGGAGACCCGTACGTGAGCACAACCTACAAAGACATCAGCGGGGATGCCAGTTCTTACTGGTGGGCGGGTTGCTTTGTGCGCAACCAGCTGGCAGGAAAGGCTGAAGCGAGCGTTGGCACGGGGCCTCACCGCGCAGGTGCCTGTGAGAAGCGTCTCTTTTCACGGCGCCCCGCTACAAATAGGAGCGCACGAGTTCGGCCACCACCTTGGGCTCGGGCACGCGGCCGGCAGCGGCGTCGACCGCTATGCGACAGGACAGCTAAGTGAGTACGGCGACTCGTCCGCGACGATGGGCAACGACAGAGGCGAGCTCAACTCGTTCACAGCGCCCGGTCGCTACTTCTTGGGTGCCATCCCCGACTCCGCCGTGGCGGTCGGCTCGCCATCGTCCACGACTCCCACACAGCTGCGTGCTCTCTCCCTCGGGCCAGAAGGTACAGCCGCTCTGGCGCTCAAGATAAATTGCCCTTCTTGCGAATCCCGCGTCTTAAATTGGGGCGCAGGTGGCGCCGGCGAGATTTGGATCGCCTTTCGCGGCGACGAAGAGACCTGCTCCGCGTTGGGCTGCCACGCCGACCGCGACAACAAGCTGAACCAAGTGACCGTCCACTTCTCGCACGTGAATGCATATGGCGACATCCGGACGGAGAAGTGGTTCTGGCTGGGGGCGGGTGAGACGTACATGCTCCCGACGGGCGGCATGGCAGTCGCCGCGTGCTCCATCGTCGATGACAGCGCCATAGTCGCAGTCGGAGGGACCGAAACCGCAGCGGTGAGCAACTGCGGGATGCCCTTTGCTCCTCCCTCTCCGCCATCGGCGCCGCCAACGCCAGGAATCTACAACGGCTGCTCAAACCGGTGCTGCTCTCTTCTGACGCTCGGCGGTGTCGAGTACACCATCTTACCTGACTCCGCGCCCGGCGTGTGCTGCGGCGGCTACTGCTCGTACAGCGGCACATACCCCGGGTGGGGTGCTGTCGAGCTCTCCTACGGGGAGTTCTTCACCGGTTCCCCCTACTTCGTCACTGTTGCCTCCTCCTACCCAGCCTGCCTGTCCGGATCCATCTCCGTGATAGCCAGCTACACCGTCGCTCAGGTAACGGCCGCCTGCCCCAGCGCGCCTTCGCCACCACCCTCGGCGTCGCCGCCGCCGCCACCGCCCTCGGCTTCGCCCTCGCCACCGCCACCATCTTCGTCACCGTCGCCGCCCCCACCGCCTCCGTCGCCGCCACCACCGTTGCCACCGCCGCCATCGCTACCTGCGCCGCTACCGCCGCCGCCTTCTCCACCACCACCTTTACCACCACCGTCGCCGCCGTCGCCATCGCCACCCCCGCCTTCGCCTCCCTCCCCGTCACCCCCGCCGCCCTCGCCCCCGCCGCCGTCACCCTCGCCATCGCCGCCCCCGCCGTCGCCACCACCGCCGTCACCACCCGCGCCGTCACCGCCACCGCCGTCGCCGCCGTCGCCATCACCCTCGCCGTCGCCGCCTCCGCCGTCGCCGCCCCCGCCGTCGCCTCCCTCGCCGTCGCTACCTCCACCATCGCCCCCACCGCCGTCACTCTCGCCGTCACCTCCACCGTCGCCGACGCCGCCTCCGTCGCCACCACCGCCGTCACCGTCGTCACCGCCGCCGCCGCCGCCGCCGCCGCCGCCGTCGCAGCCACCGCCGCCGCTGCCTCCACCACCCTCGCCGCCACCCCCGTCGTCGCCGCCATCGCCGCCTTTGCTGCCGTTGCCTGCTCCGCCTTCACCGCCTCCGCCGTCGCTGTCGCCGTCGCCGCCTCCACCGTTGCTGTCGCCGTCGTCCTCTCTGACGCCCTCCCCAGCGCCCCCACCCGCACCTCCACCCCCGAGGCCGCCGCCGCCGCCGGCGGCACAGTCGAGGTCGTTCCGGGTCGTCGCGACCTTCGCCGCAAGTGGCGAAGTCGGCGACTATGACGCCGCCGCGCAGAGGCTGATCCTCGTCACTCTCGCGGAGCTGGCCGGGTTCAGCTTTGTGCCTCTCGGCTCCACCCTCGAGATCACCGCCGGAAGCGTCGTCGTGGTTGCCACGATCCCGGCGACGACGCCGGCGGAGGCCGCCTCCGCACAGCGCAGCCTCCGCGCATACACGGAGGAGGCGGGCCGAGGCGACTTTGAGGCGGCTATGAGCGCCGCAAACGTCACCTACATCGATAGCACTCTCCGGGTCGAGGTGGAGGAGGTCGGCGAAGGGGGTTCCTCCCCCGCGGTCGCCGTGGCGGCGGCCGCGGCGGTGGGGGTGGCCGTCACCGCGGCCCTGCTCGGAGGCGGCATGTACCTCCGGGCGAGGAGGCAGCGCCGCTGCTCGCCCCCGGATGAGCCCGGCCCTGGTAAAGGCTACAAGGTGGGCCCGCGGACCTCTCATCACGAGGTCTCTCTGTCGATATGATGTTGGATAAGAACGGGGGAGCAAGTCGGAGGATGACGCCGTCGTCGCTTACACTCCCGGCGTTACCAGTGCCTCCCCGTGTCTGTAGCCTGTGGCGTCTGTCGTGGGCCCCGTGGCCGTGCGTGCCGCGTCTCCTGTGCCCCCAATAGTGCCAGTGCGTGCCAGTCCCGTGCTTAGTGTTGTGAGAGCGAGGGGTTTAATAAATAAAATAAACGGACATCCCAAGCTAAGCCTAAGGGCTGGGTCGAGGACAGACACGAATCCAGCTTCGGCTGAGGGCTGAGAAGCTGCCGGCCCAAGTCAGTGGCAAACCAGCGGTAATTTGCCCACAGGTGGGGGTGGTTGTCTGGCGCGCCGCGCGCAAAGATTCATGGCCAAGAAATTCTTGATGAACGATGTTGATGAAGCACCTTCCACGCACTTCCCGTGGGTGACACATCTCAAACATCTCTCACACAGATCATCACACAGTTCGTACGATCAGGCGCCATCTGTATTTCAGAGAGATTTTTAGCAATACCAAACAACTCTAACACTCACACGTTTGTTTGTATTTCATCACACAAAAGAGAGTACGTAGGAGTTGCAGCCAAACATCATCGGCGTGCTCGGCTGCGGCTATAGCAAGCACATACGGGGGGAGGGCGCATCGCCGCGCGGAGAGGGCTGGGCACAGGGCACAGGGGATCTCTCTCGCAAGCCGGCGGGATCGGCGGGGAGCGCAAAATTCTTTTCGCGTCCCTTTCTTCGGCGCTGTTGGCGGCGTTCAGCGCGAGCCCGTGCCTGGTGGCTTATGATCCAGTTCATCCTCCTGCAGAACCGACAGGGCAAGACCCGGCTGAGCAAATACTACCGCACCTATACTGACGATGAGAAGATCAAGATTGAGGCCGAGATTCACCGCATCGTGACGACCCGCGACCAGAAATTCACAAACTTCGTCGAGGTGCCGGGCCAGCGGGGTACGGCGGGGGACGGGCCAAAAATGCGGGGACGGGCGGCGGGGATGGGGCGGGACATTGGGGGGGGGGGGGGGGGTCACCCGACAATCTCTCCGTCCCTCGCGCCCCCATCGCCCTGACTTGCCCCCCGCTGCGCGCAGTTCAAGCAGTACAAGCTGATATACCGGCGATACGCGGGGCTCTTCTTTACGCTGTGCGTTGATGTGAACGATAACGAGCTGGTGTATTTCGAGTCGATCCATCTCTTCGTCGAGCTTCTGGACCAGTTCTTTGGCAACGTGTGCGAGCTCGACCTTGTCTTCAACTTCAACAAAGTGTACATGATCCTCGACGAGTTCTTCCTGGCGGGCGAGGTGCAGGAGACGTCCAAGCAGACCATTCTGCACCGCGTCCAGGATTTGGACAAACTCGAGTAGATCTCCCACTCTACCCAGTCTCCCAGTGTTCTCACCGCCTCGCTGCACGCCGCGGCGCGCGGGCGCGGCGCTCCTCTCTCACTGGTGTCAGCCAGCGCGGTGGGCAAATACGGTTTACGTCGATTGGTTGTCGCTACGTACATTCATCATGAAGACGAAAATTTTCGGCCTCCTCGCTCAACGTCTCTGTGCACGCCGTGCGAGCACCGCGACCCCCGGGCTCTACCGGGCGCCCCACCACCCACATCACTACCCGTGCGCGGCCGCCAGATGCGGGAAATCCCCAAGCGGGACGACTGTCGCACCGCCACCGCACCAGTAGAGCTTGGCGCCGGGCTGGCCCGCCTCGGTCTCGCACGGCTCGACCGTGTCCAGCAGCGGCGCAGACGCGTCGCCCGCACCCGCGCCGCCGCGCAGCGCGTGCAGCGCGGCCTTCGAGAGCACGAACTCCCGCCCCTCGTGGTCGCCGCTGAGTACGCGGAGGACGAGCCCGCGCTTCGGGTCGTACCTTGAGGGCGCGAGCAGGGCGGGGGTGAGAGGGCGCCGTCCACCGGAAGCGCAAGGCCTCAGCGCGGCCGCACCGCAGATGCGACCCACTCCCGCCCGCCGCGGCGCCGTGTTGCCGCTCCCCAATCGCGACCACCAAGTGGCGCGCCGCCGCGCGGAGGGCGTGCGCCGACTCGCTCTGCGATGTGAGCAGCTGGAGCGGCGAGCCCGCATCGACTGCCTCTCCCACCTGCGGCCACGCGGCCTAAGGGCTCGCCTAGGGGACTCCCTCGCCGTGCTGCGCGTGGTCTCGTCTCCGCCACCTGAGGCTCGATCGGGAGGCGGAAGGTGTCGCTCTCGCGTAGACCCGCGTGCCGCCTCACCGCCTCGAGCTGCGAGCCGCCAAAGGGCAGGTGCGTCCGGCCTGTCCCGTCGGCGACGCGGAGAACTGAGTCCGGATGCGCGGGCGCGGGCGGGGGGGGGGGGGGGGGGCGGGGGGGCACACAGCGGGAGATCATCTCACCCAGCGACGCGTTCTAGGCCATTCGCCGCGCGGGTGAAGAATGGGGCTTGCGGGTGTGTGGGAGCTTGTCGGAAGTCACCTGCCCGACTGTCTTGCCTACCATCGGGCCGCGCATCACCGCCGCCGGCACCGCCCCGCTCGAAGCGCCCTTGCCCACGAACCCGTAAGACATGAGCCTCACGCCGTCGGCTTCGGCCGGCGCGAGGAGCCGCGTCTGCGCGTCCTGCCGGAGCGGCAACGAGCCGGGCGGCAGCCGCACCAGCGACGGCAGCGACGGGCCGTGCACGTCTGCGTCGAGGAGCCCGACCCGCCCGCCCTGGGTGGCGAGGGCGTAGGCGAGGTTGACCGCGACGGTCGACTTGCCCACGCCGCCCTTGCAGCTGCTGATGCCAACCAGCGCGCCAACGTGCCGCAGCGACGGCGGCGCATTGGAGCCCATAAATGAGCGCGGGCGCGAGAGCGTGGACTCGACGCTGCTGCGGCGCGCCCACGGTAGAGCCTCAATCGCGGCCGCGGCGGCCGCCTCGACGGCGCCGCGTCTCATCGCGCCGGAGCGGAACTCGAGCTTGACCGCCACAGTCGCGTCGGGCTGCACGGCGAGCCGCTTGCAGCGCGCGAGTGCTGGGTCGAGCACGCCGTTGAGGGCGGCGAGCGCCTCCTCCTCGAGCCGCGCGCGCCCGCGCGCTGTCGCAAGAGCGCACCGGCGCCGCACAAACGAGGTGCCAATGCGCATGGTGGCATGATTGTGCAGGTGATGCAGACCCATGTGCATGGTGTGCTTATGTTGTCGACCTGTGCAGACGGGCTCCGGGTCGCCGCTGCGCCTGCGGCCGCCACCGCGTGGAGGGTGAGCAGAGCACAGGAGAGGAGCGCGAGGCCCTAGCCCTCGGCCCAGCCGGCACGCGCGCTGGGTCAGCTGCGACAGAGAGGCTGGCCGTGGCACGCGTGCGCAGCAAGGCTGGGCGAGTTGAGTGGCAACCGACCACCAGCTCGTTTGGGACACGTCACGGCGAAGGCGGAGCGTCGGGCGAGACCGTCGAATCACGGGGTGGAGTGGCGACAAGGTGTGTGGGGCGTGGCGCGCGCCCCGACCGTGTCAGCCCGAAACGCAAAGGAGAGAGCTGGGGCTGGCGGTGGCGCCGCAGCCAATTCTCGCTTTCTTGTCACTCCCGCATGGACCCCACGTGGGACCCCTCCTCCCCATGGGCCTGCCCATGGGAGTCTATCGTGGCAGGTCACTGCCCCGTATGGGGCCCCACTCTGTGGGACCCCTCCTCCCCATGGTCCTGCCCATGGGAGTCTATCGTGGCAGGCCGAGGGCCCAACTTGAGAATCGTGCTTTTTGGGTTGGGTTGGGTTGTTGGGTTGGGTTGGGTTGTGGTTGGGTTGGGTTGTTCCGCGTGAGGTTGGGTCGTCGGCGCGAAGGGTGAGGTCTCGACCGCCGCCGCTCACGCCAGCGGACGGCCACTGCCGGTGTTTTTGGCTTCGCCACCGTCCAAGGCGTGCGCCATGCGCTCGCCGGCATCGAGCGAGCAACGTGATCGACCGAGCGGCTTGCTGTGTGGTCGCCTTCTTGTGGCTCTCGTCGAGAGCGTTTTGCGTCCCGGCGGGTGGGAGAATGTGTGTCGTCTGAAGTGTCACTGTGTGCGTCACATCGATGTGGATAACAAGCACGGTCGATCCGTCAAAGCGATACACTCGTTCCTATCACGCTGGAAGGCTTGCACCCACCTCTGTGCCGGCACACAGAAGAGCCGTGCGGCAAGAAGAGCTCGATGGGGAGCGAGAACTGCCAGAGGTGCTCACCCAGGTTTCGGAAGTCCGCCTTGATGCGGTCAGTCCCCCCCAGGTTTGACCGCGCAGCTCGCAAGACTCGTCGAACACTCGGAGCCTTTCTGCGCCTCTGACTCTGCAAGCTATGCGGGAAGAGCAGTTTATTCGCAATATATCGACGAGTTCGAGAGAGCCACAGGCTTTCGCTCGGGAGGGATTGAGTGCGTCGCGACGGACTTCAGGCTACACCTGAAAATCTGACGGTTCTCGCTCCCCATCGAGCTCTTCTTGCCGCACGGCTCTTGCTGTGTGCCGGCACAGAGCTCCGTGCAAGCCTTCCAGCGTGATAGGAACGAGTGTATCGCTTTGACGGATCGACCGTGCTTGTTATCCACATCGATGTGACGCACACAGTGACACTTCAGACGACACACATTCTCCCACCCGCCGGGACGCAAAACGCTCTCGACGAGAGCCACAAGAAGGCGACCACACAGCAAGCCGCTCGGTCGATCACGTTGCTCGCTCGATGCCGGCGAGCGCATGGCGCACGCCTTGGACGGTGGCGAAGCCAAAAACACCGGCAGTGGCCGTCCGCTGGCGTGAGCGGCGGCGGTCGAGACCTCACCCTTCGCGCCGACGACCCAACCTCACGCGGAACAACCCAACCCAACCACAACCCAACCCAACACGAAACAACCCAACTCAAAGCACGATTCTCAAGTTGGGCCCTCAGGTCACTGCCCCGTATGGGGCCCCACTCTGTGGGACCCCTCCTCCCCATGGGCCTGCCCATGGGAGGTTAGTGTGGCAGGTTGCTGCCCCGCATGGGACCCCACCCAGTGGGACCCCGCTTGCCCATGGGCCGTGCCCATGGGAGTCTAGCGTGGCAGGTTGCTGCCCCGCATGGACCCCACCCAGTGGGACTCCGCTTGCCCATGGGCCGTGCCCATGGGAGGTTAGTGTGGCAGGTTGCTGCCCCGCATGGGACCCCACTCTGTGGGACCCCTCCTCCCCATGGGCCTGCCCATGGGAGGTTAGTGTGGCAGGTTGCTGCCCCGCATGGGACCCCACTCTGTGGGACCCCTCTTCCCCATGGGCCGTGCCCATGGGAGGTTAGCGTGGCAGGTTGCTGCCCCGCATGGGACCCCACTCAGTGGGACCCCGCTTGCCCATGGGTCATGCCCATGGGAGGTTAGTGTGGCAGGTCACTGCCCCGTGTGGCGCCCCATGCAGTGGGACCCCGCTAGCCCATGGGCCGTGCCCATGGCAGGTTAGCGTGGCAGGTCACTGCTGTGTGGAACTTCCCCATGGGCCGTGCCCATGGGAGTCTAGCTTGGCTGGGCATTGCCCCTCATAGGATCCCACCCAGTGGGACCCCTCTCCTGCGTGCCCATGGGAGTCTGGCGTGGCTGGTTAGTGCCACGCATGGGACCCCACCCAATGGGGCTTCTTTGGTCCCCCATGGGACCATTCGCACACTCAGTGTGCTAGCGAGGGGCCATGTCCCCTCGGGTCCCCCGTGGGACCACTGCGCTGCTTAGCTGCCAGAAGCTGCTGGGCTGCGGCCCACGCTCGCGCCTCTGGCCTGATTGAACGCGCTCACTGAGCGCATGCCTCGCTGCTTGGCCTTGGGGCTGCGCTGCTTAGCTGCCAGAAGCTGCTGGGCTGCGGCCCACGCTCGCGCCTCTGGCCTGATTGAACGCGCTCACTGAGCGCATGCCTCGCTGCTTGGCCTTGGGGCTGCGCTGCTTGGCTGCCAGAGGCTGCTGGGCTGCGGCCCACACTCTCGCCTCTGGCTTGGCTGCATGCGCTCCCTGAGCGCATGCCGCTCCTGGCCGGCCTCCGGGCTTGGCTACTTCGCTGCCAGAGGCTGCTGGGCCACGGCCCTTCGATGTCGCCTCTGGCTTGGCTGCACGCGCTCCCTGAGCGCATGCCTCGGCGTGGCCTTCGGGCTTGGCTGCTTCGCTGCCGGAGGCTGCTGGGCCGCGGCCCTCCTCCTCACTCAGGTCAGTTCAAAGGGGTGCCCGTGGGCGCCCCATTTCGGCACTTGAGTGCATTGCAAGCAGCAGGCTTTGCCCGTTGATGAGCCTGCGGGCTCAGTACTACTGCCTGCGGGCGCAAGGGTCCTTGGAGGGCCTGAGGGCCAAGGAGAGGGACCTCTTTTGTTTGTGCGTTGCACGTCTGGGGGTAAGTTTTCTCAGCTGTGCTGGTGTGGTCGCGTCACTCCCATCTGGGGGGGACAGGGGGCCCGAGGGCCTCTTTATTCACCACCAGCGTAGTAGAGAGAAGGGACCGTATGCCCAGACGAGTCATAAATTATTACGATTCTATGTGATGCCATAAACGGAAGCGTCCCACCTATACGGCCGGTTCGCCGGGACCCTGACGTGAGCGATGAACCCTCCGCAAATCTACTTGGGCTCGATGGCTACCTGCTGAGCACAAGCGGAGCGAAGGGGATCCGTCAGGAGGCTGGGGGGAGAGAGAGAGGAGTGGGGAAAGGTGTGTGCGGGCGGGTGCCGAGACACCTGGCTTGTCTTCCTGCCTTTGCACATGCAGTACACCACGAGGATGACGAGCAGAAAAACAACCACCACGCCGGCGGCGGTGGCCGCCGCTATGATGACCATCACACTGCCGTCTGGCGGCGGCGTTGTGGGCGGCGGAGTGGTGGGCGGCGGCGGTGCCGGTGGCGGCGACGAGGGCGGCGAGTCGCAGAAGGTCATCGACGCCCACTCGCTGCCGAGGCGGGTGTAGCGGACCGAGTACGCTTGGATCAGAGTGCCGGACATGTCTAGGCGGTTTGTCGGAATGCACGCCCCCACCACTGGTCTCATAGAGAAGCCACTGGCATACGTGTTCATGGCGGAGGGCGCAGCACACGAGGAGCATGAGCTGTCGGTGCACGTCGCTATCGTTTGGCTGGGTGTGCTCGAGCAGGTGTAGACCGCCTTGACGAAGGTGCCACCGCTGGCTATGCAATGCACATGGGGCGACAGTTGGACCACACTGTCGAAGGTGGTGGTTGAATCCACTGGCTGGGAGCAGGTTGTGTCGCCCGAGGGGAAGGCCTCGAGCATGGTGGTGCCGGGCGCCCCCGGCGGGTACGCCGGCGACGGGGGCGGCGACGAGGGCGGCGAGTCGCAGAAGGTCATCGACGCCCACTCGCTGCCGAGGCGGGTGTAGCGGACCGAGTACGCTTGGATCAGAGTGCCGGACATGTCTAGGCGGTTTGTCGGAATGCACGCCCCCACCACTGGTCTCATAGAGAAGCCACTGGCATACGTGTTCATGGCGGAGGGCGCAGCACACGAGGAGCATGAGCTGTCGGTGCACGTCGCTATCGTTTGGCTGGGTGTGCTCGAGCAGGTGTAGACCGCCTTGACGAAGGTGCCACCGCTGGCTATGCATTGCACATGGGGCGACAGCTCGACCACATTGTCGAAGGTGGTGGTTGAATCCACTGGCTGGGAGCAGGTTGTGTCGCCCGAGGGGAAGGCCTCGAGCATGGTGGTGCCGGGCGCCCCCGGCGGGTACGCCGGCGACGGGGGCGGCGACGAGGGCGGCGAGTCGCAGAAGGTTATCGACGCCCACGCACTGCCGAGGATGGTGTAGCGGACCGAGTACGCTTGGATCAGAGTGCCGGACATGTCTAGGCGGTTTGTCGGAATGCACGCCCCCACCACTGGTCTCATAGAGAAGCCACTGGCATACGTGTTCATGGCGGAGGGCGCAGCACACGAGGAGCACGAGCTGTCGGTGCACGTCGCTATCGTTTGGCTGGGTAACCTCGAGCAGGTGTAGACCGCCTTGACGAAGGTGCCACCGCTGGCTATGCATTGCACATGGGGCGACAGCTCGACCACATTGTCGAAGGTGGTGGTTGAATCCACTGGCTGGGAGCAGGTCGTGTCGCCCGAGGGGAAGGCATCGAGAGAGGCGATGCCCGAGGCGGCGGCGCCAGAAGCCATCACGAGGAGCCCCATGCGGGTCAGCGACGAGGCCATCGTTCGTGAGCGCAACGGCAACGCTGTGCGAACATATGGGACACACGGGGTGCCACGAGTGTCTGTCTAACCCACACCTATGAGGACCTACCTACCTCGCTGGAAACCCTGTAACAGAATGTAACGGTTGTAACAGACATTTGTAACCGACGCGACAAACGCTTGTAACCGCCACAACGCATTCAGGCCTGCACTCTAGGCCTTTGCCTTCTTGCTCGGCTTTGGGCAGCATGCCACACCGCCGCACACCGAAGTCACCTTGCGCTTGCTAAGGAGCTGCAACACATGCACATGCTCATGCTTGCCAAGTGCGGTCGCTTCCACCAACTCCTGTGGCATCGAGATGGTTGAGTGCTTATCCGAGTAGTGCTGCGCCATTGAGTAGGAGGCAATCACAAGCGAACAGTGCATGCACTGCAGCGGGCGATTGGTGCATGGCGTCTCGAGTGATGATGTCGCCGCAGAAGCCAAGCTGTACTCAATCGCTCCAACAATCTGGCACTGATGCACCGGCTTCTTCACTTTCTTGGAACCATCTTTGAGCGAGATGGGGCAGCCTGTCGCAAGGCTCGGGTCAGCCATATGCTGCCCGACGGCACTGTTCACACCACAGAGCATGCACGGCATGCGCGGCTTCTCCTTGCCATGCTTGGACCAGCTGGCCTCGAGCAGATGCGCACCCATATGATGAGGCATCAGTTTCGCCTTCCACTGAAATACGCTTTTTTTTGAGACTCTCTTTGTTTTGACTCTCGAGGTTCTCGAGGTTCTCGAGGTTCTCGAGGTGGATATCCTTTGGCCGCGTTGGGTAGCGAGGATTGGGGGGGGGGGGGTAGGATTGGTGTAACCCGAGCCACGGAGGCGTGTTTTCTGACGGCCGACCGTCAGTGCACGGAGTTGCCCCTTCTCCGACTGCCCCGGCTAGTTCCCGAGGTCGCGCGGGAGTGACCCCTGAAAAAAAGGGAGAAAGGACAAAGTCCCCGTGCCCATGTCGGGGACGCCAGGCGAAAATCGCAAACCCCGTCAGCAGTCCTCCTCCGGGAATGTAATAAATAAATAGAGCACTCATCTCCAGGGAGAGATGGGCGACGCACACGAACACAGAGGGTCAGTGCTCCGGGAATGTACGTAAGAGCTACATATACTCAAAATACTTTTTTTGGCCGCACGAGCTCGCGGCGCCCCGTTTCTCTTTTGCACGACGGACACTCACGAGCTCGCCCGCTGGCGCGGACCAGCTCTTTCCAGTTCTTTCCGGACCGGTTCTTTCCCGTCATGCTGAGCCTGTTCGTGGCCATCTCTGTCTCGCTCAACGCGCGCGCGCGTTTGGGGACGGCCGTGGTCCGCGGTCTCAGCCGCAACGCCGGCGCTGTTATGGTCGTTGGGGCCGCCGACATCGTCGGCGAGGTCGACAACTGGCGGCCGGAGGGTGGGCACGGCACTGGCAACCGCTTCATGCCGCTGGACACGGTCCGCTTCCCTGTCGCTGCCACGCCATCTCCGCCGCCCCAGCACCGCGCGCGGCGCCGCCCGCACACCACTGAGCAACCATTTGCGTGGCAGGTAGCGATGGGCCCTGGGCCGATGCTCATGGCGATTGCCGGGCTCTACCCAGGTCTCACCGCCGCCGAGCTTCGCGCGCCACAGCCGCTGCCCTTCGCCCCCGCCGGCGGGTGGAATTACCACCGACTTCTTGCCGATGGCGCGCTGCTCGGCCCTCAGCCCATCATACCTCCCTCCCCGCCTCGCATCACGGCGCCGGCTGTCCCCTCCACGCCAAAACGCAGAGAGGATCCCGCCCTGACAGCTCGCACTCGCGTGCCTCCGCAGGCGTCCCGACTGGCTTCGTCGCCCTCCCTGGCAACGAGCTTGTCGCGGAGCACCCCGACACCGTCGCCGTCGTTTGCGACGGCACCTCACTCGGTGTTGAGTTTGCAGACGGAGCATCGCACGAGCGCATAGATGCTGCAGAGATTCGCTTTGGAGGCCGCACTGCTGCTTCATGTGCCGTCTTAGGGCCATACCCGTAGAACGGGGGGATAGAGACGGCAGGCGGTGTAGAGACGCGTCCTCACTGCCGCACCTCACTGCCTCCAGCTATGGTCCTGTGCTGTCCTCAACTCCCTCCAGCTCGTCTCTGCGACACACTAGGCACGAGTTTTCTTTCTTTCTTTTAGGCACGAGTGCCTCGCGCTGATCGACCGGTCCGACGAGGCGGTCGCCAACCCAGGCACGCGCCCCAACCCGGCCAGTAGCTTCCCCCACAGCGCGCCAGCCCCCCCCACACACACACACACCTTCCCACCCCACCCGGCCCGCGGCACCTCGCCAGGTCTGCTCGACCCGCGCCAGTTTTACGCGCTGTCCGACGCCGCGGGCCGAGTGCACATTCGGTGGAGCGACGGCGTGCCCGAGGGGTGGACGGTGCAGGGGCGGCTGATCTTCACGCAGCTCCCCCATGTGAAGAAGCCGGGCAGCGGCGGCGGCTTTGCTGAGATGGACGACGATTTCGAGTTTTGAATGGCGGTGTCGACACATTGTGCAACCGGCCGGGCCTCCAAACCCCCCCCCCCCCTCCCTCCCGCCTCCCGCCTCGAGGAAAGGAGGCCTCCAGGCTCGCACACGGCACACACATGCGACGCAAAGTGCGCAATGCGTCACAGCTTCAGCGGTCACAGCTTCTGTGAGCCCGTGGCCGTGCCATATGCACCACCCCCATGGCACGGCGGCACATGGCGGGTAATCCTACTGTCTGCTAATTAATGCGTGGCCGAGCGTGTGTAGTGCGAAGTCGGTGTGCGATGTGGGGCAGGGGGTAATATAACGTAATCTGCATCACTGTATTGTGTATACGCGCCGAGTCACTCTCCGGGCCGAGAAAAAACTAAACGCAAACTCCGCGGGCACCGGGGAGACCCCGCGGAAGCGAGGGGCTCTCTCTCACTCTTCTCTTCCACTCTGCTCTCTGGTTTCTCTGCGCGCCGGTGCGCCGGCGACACGGTGGGATCCGAGACGGAGGCAGTGCCCCCCCTGACGTGCCATCCTCCAGACCGCCTGTCTAATGCTTCAAATCATGGACTGCGCCGGCTCACCGCCCTCCGCCTTCGCCATCGCGTAAGCGACCGTCGCTCGCGCGCGGCGTACAGCGACGATGGCGAGGACCAGCGCCCCCAAGCCGACAGCGGCAACGGCGGTGGAAGCGCCGTGCGACGCAGAAGCGCTCCGCGCTGCGGACGCGGCAGCAAGCGCGGAGGCGTCGAGCAAGTTGATCTGTCCGTCCGTGTCCGCGTCACCAAAGGCGAAGGCGGCTTTGCCCTGCATGTCAGCGGCGGCGCCCCCCGCGGCGCTGAGCGCCTCGCCGGTCTTATCCTGCGCCACACGCACCTACCAGACGTCTCCAGACATCAAGACAATCCTAGACACGCCCGCGTGAGGCGGCGGAGGGTGTCAGTCAGGCCGCCGCTGGCGGCGGCGGGCGTGAGGGCGGCGGCGGCGAGGGCGGGGACGATGGCGGCGGTGGGGCGGGCTTCGGCTGCGGTGCGGTCGAGATGGGTTCATGGCCGCACCTTGGCCGTGCTCAGCTCGATTGCCTTCTGCAAGAACTCCTCGATGGCCGTAAAGTTGACCGACTTGTACGCGTGGATGAAGTTGGTCGCGATGAACTTGATCTGCCTCTTTGTCAGGTGGACCCCCTCCTCGCCCTTCTCCGCAGCCATCACCGCAGCCACCTCCTTGCAGTCGAGAGCGAGGCTCAGCGCCTTGTCAGCCTCGTCCTCGATGTACGTCCAGTTCACTCTGGCGTAGTACTAGGCGGCGGGAGGGGGGGGCGGCGTGCGGGGTTAGCGCCTCGACTCCTATTCGCATCCCCCTCTCGCCTCTCAGCAGGCACGAGACCAGAGCATTTCTCGGGTGCGTGACAGGGAGGGGCACACCTCAGCGAGCGGGCCCTCGGAGCCGCCGAAGTGCTCCTCCGCCTTGCCGTGGGCCAGCGCGAGGGCCGTCTTGATGCCCTCAACCGCCTTGTTCCAGCTGACGTCCTCCAAATAGTCCACCACGCTGTCCTTTGCGACGTCAAACGCTGCTTGGATCGACGAGAGCGCTGCGTCGAGCTGGCCCTCCTCTTCGTGCTGCCCCGCCACGCGCACGGGCAGCGGCGCCAGCGGATCCTCCTTCCCGGCCACCGCGGAGGAAGCCAGGAGGGACACAGCGAGGAGAGATGTGGCACGCATGCCTGTGGAAATTCGAGAGCAAGGAGCGTGCCAGGAAAAGAAAACGAAATCCACGGCATCACGGAGGTAATGCACGCCCTGTGAGCGGGGCGGGGTGCGCACTGTACCTCTTTTCCCCATCTCTACGAGAGATGACTGCTCTATTTATTTATTTATTCACGGAGGTAAAAGTGCGGACAGGGACGAGGAAGGAAGGGGGGGGGTGGGGAGTCCAGAAAAGAAACCTAAAAGCCAAAAAGCTTTCGTTCCAACTGGTAAAAGAAAGAAAACGGACATTGGGCGAGGTTGGGACGGCCTGTGTAGATAGACAGATAGGAAGGCGAAAAAACTAGTGTGAGGCTATTAGAAGCAGGAAGCAGGAAGCAGGAGGGGCCCGCGTATAGTCTCCCACATCTTTCGGCAGCTTTCCTCCCCACATCTCATGCCCGGAGCGGCCGCACACTGCTCGGTACCCCCCCTACATCTAAAGCCATCCCTGCTGCTAGGGGGGGGGGGGGGGGGCTGACCCGACCCCTCCAGCAGCAGAGCGCTGCTGCTGTGTGTGTGGGGGGGGGGTCCCGACCCCCCCAGCAGCAGAGCCGCGCACTGGACCCAGCTCCCGCCTCTTCGCCGCCGCCGCCCCCTCCCCCCTCGGCTCGTGCTTGAGCGGTACGCTCGAGGCGGTTGTGTTTACTTACTTACAGCTGTCTGTACAACGAGCTACAATTGATATGGGATGCCGTCGATCGAGGAGGCGACCAAATCGGCGAGGATCTGTGGAAAAACAGCCAGCCGCCCCGCCCTGACACGTTAATTAATCAAAACGTGGCGATAATCGACCCAACCTCGCAACACATACAATATGCATATGCCGAGCGACCAAAGAATCCGAACCCAGGAACTGACATAATATACCACGAGCTATGGCTAGACACATCCAGCAGACCTCACCGCACAGGGAATACAATCGACCCGAGGCAAAAATCAATCACTACCGTCGAGGAATGGGATGACACGCCCTCGGACCCCCCACCCGTGTATGGCAGCGGCATACTCGAGGAGAAACGGCGCCAAACAGACCATAAAAAACCCGCAATCATAGGGCCTACACACCTCGCGTACCCGAGAAATGAGGGCTGGAGACCCAAGGGGCAAAAGGGCAAGACCGAAAACGGCCGTCCACGTAAGCTCTCTGACATTACCATTCACAGCATCACCGACCACCTCACCAAACGCATCACGAGAAAAATAAAACCGAACTGCATACGAAACTGGAAGAAGCGGGTCCGATTCAGAATCGATTTTAAAAAAGTGTTTAGCTCGTTCGGCACACCGCTCTCAAACGACGCCGAGGGTTCGGCCCCCCGCTCGATCCGGATCTGTCGTCGCGGGTCCTCGTCTTGCCCGGAGCGGCCGCACACTGCTCGGTACCCCCCCCCTGCACATCTAAAGCCATCCCTGCTCTGAGCCCTGGTGTCGAGGTGTCGAGGCCCGGTGTCGAGGGTGTCGAGCTGCTGTCGAGGGATAGAGGTGTCGAGGCCTGTCGAGGCCTGTCGAGGCCTGTCGAGGCCTGTCGAGGCCTGTCTAGGCTGGGACCATGCTTGTCCGTGTCGAGGTGTCGAGGAGTGGTGTCGAGGGTGTCGAGGCCTCGAGGGTGTCGAGGGTGTCGAGCGTGTCGAGCGGGTGTCGAGTGTTGTCAAGGTGTTTAGCGTCTAAGGTGTCGAGGTATCCAAGGTGGCAGGATGCAGTTGCAGCCCATAACAAAACTTGGGCCGCAGCTGCAAAGGCCAAATCCCTTAGTTGCAGCCTCTCAAAGTTGCACCCCTGTTGATGTAGCACAACCTGTGTGTGAGCACAACCAGTATACTCTGTGTGGACATTTGAGGACATCAAGCTCACTAGTGCCAGGAGTCATTGCCACTGCACAAGGTGCTGTGCAGGCGCAGCACCTAAGGCTACAGCACACCCCATGCAGCAGCGTCGCCGCTGCAGCGTTGTCGCCGCTGCAGCGTCGCCGGCGCACAAAGCGCAACTGACCACAGCGCTCTTGGCACAGGCTGGTGCCATGAGTCAGTGGACATTGCCACTGCACAAGGTGCTGTCCAGCAGCTAAGGGCTACAGTACCCCATCGCAGCAGCGTCGCCGCCGCTGCCAGCGTCGCCGTTGCAGCGTCGCCAGTGCACAAAGCGCAATGGACCACAGGTCTGCACTCATGGCACAAGCTCACTGGTGTGAGGATTCATTGCCACTGTACAAGGTGCTGTGCAGCACCTGAGGGCCACCTGAGTACTGCCATGGTTGCTACATTGGTCATTGCAGGGGTGCAATTGAGCTGCAACTTGAGCTAGAACTTAAGAGGCTGCAACTGAGGGATGAAAGTACTGCCAGCCAAGATTGATTGCTGCTGGAACCCTGATTTTCTAACTCTGTGACTCCAAATGGGTCTTCTCTACGTCTCTGCTGTGTTAGGATCATCAGAGGTGACGAGGTGGTGTCGAGCGGTGTCGAGCGGTGTCGAGGTGTCGAGTTTGGCACCTTGACACGGACGAGCATGGTCCCAGCCTAGATGGTGTCGAGGGGTGTCGTGTGTCGAGGGGTGTCGAGGGGTGTCGAGGGGTGTCGAGGGGTGTCGAGTTGGTCGAGTTGGCATGGGGTGTCGAGGTGTCGAGTCGGTGTCGAGGTTTGGTGTCGAGGTGTCGAGGCCAGGGCTCAGTCCCTGCTGCTAGGGGGGGGGGGGGGGGGTGTCTGACCCCCCAGCAGCAAACCGCACTCACGCGAGAATTCTTTCTGCATCGGGGCTTCATTAGAGGCAGGAAGCAGGTAGAGGCACGCTGCGGCAGCAGGGCCGCCGGACGCCCTCCCCCCTTCTATCCCCAAGCCCCAGCCACCTCTGCCAGTCGGAAACCCGCCTGGCCGCTCGCTGCCTGCTGAGGGCGCCGCGCGGCGTGCCCTGTGCCGCAGGGGGGCGCCGCTGGGGCGGCGACAAAGCGACGAGAGCAAGATGGCTGCAGGCACGGTCCCAAACCTGGAGAACAAGCTATTCGTCGGTGCGCGCGCGTGTGTGCACAACCACACCGCCTCTCGGGAGCACGTCCGCCCTTCACCGGTGGCCGGAAGCGACGGCCACACTCCCACTGCGCTGGCGCTCCTGCGCAGGTGGTTGCCCGCCGACGAGCGATGAGGAGGCCCTGCGCGCGGTGCGCGAACCAAACTGCCTCGTCGCCACCTGCGGCCCGAGTCAAACCGCACCCTCCCCGGCGCAGATCTTCGAAAAGCACGGCACCGTCGACGAGATCTTCATCATGCGCGGAGGGTCGCGGTCCGGGATGGCCTGCGCATTTGTGCGCTTTGCGACGCAGGAGACGGCGCAGCGGGCGATCGACGCGATCCATGGCAATGTGACGCTCCCGGATGCGTCGGAGCCGCTCGTCGTCCGCTGGGCCGATGCGCCCGGATCGCGCGGCCGCGAGAGCCGCGGGCGGCAGCCGAATGAGCGGCGGCGCAGCGGCGGCGACCGGCGGAGCGGCGGCGGCGGCGGCGGCGGCGGCGGCGGCATGGCCGGTCGCTATGGGATGGGCGGCTATGCGATGCAGCACGGGGGCTACACCTACGGCCCGACGGCGCAGTATATGTCCATGCACAACCAGATGCAGTACGGTGCGGCGTACGGTCAGATGTACGGGCAGATGGGGACCAGCGGGTACCACGCAGGCGACACCGGCCCGCCCTCCCCACCGGCCCGCCCTCCCCCTGCCGCGCCGTGCCGCGCGCCTGCGTGTCCCCCCGCGAGCCTGTCGCCAAGCTGCGCCAGCCCGCGCGCTGCAGGCTACCCGCAGCACGCGCAGATGAGCTACGGCTACGGCTATTCGCAGCACGGCATGGGCATGCCGCAGGGTCAGGGGACGCCGCACGAGCAGCAGCAGGCGCAGCAGGCGCAGCAGCTGCAGTTCATGTACGCGCAGCAGCAGTACGCGCAGCAGGCAGCCATGGCGCAGGGCGCAGGCGTCGTGCCGTCGCACATGCAGCAGCACGGCTACCCCCCGCAGCAGCAGTCGCCGGGGCCAGGCCCGCAGCAGGGCCAGCCGATGGGCTCGCCGCCCTAGAAGCTGAAACGTGTTTTCAACTCGCGCTCGAGTCGCGCTCGAGAAGACACGTATTCCGCTGTATTCGGCCGTATTCGGCCGTATTCTTATTCACTGTATTCGTTCGAACCCCGCATTCACGCGGTGCTCTGACTGCTCTGCGCAGTGCCGTGTTCCCGCCCTGACCTTGGCGCATTCATGACGTAGGTATGGGCTCGCCACCGCAGCAGCAGCAGCAGCAGCAGCTCTTCCAAAAGCAGCAGCTGCGGCACGCGTCGCCGTCGAACCAGCCAGCGCCGCAGCTTGGCTCGCCGCAGCACTCCTCCTCCCTATCCCCGGCGCCCCGGCGAGACCAGCCGCCGCCGCGGCGAGACGCGGCGTTGTCGCCGTCACAGCAGCAGGGCCAGCCACAGGCGCAGTCGCCCGCCTCGTCGCTCTCGTCGCCGCTGCAGCAGTCGCCCCCGCAGCAGCAGCCTCCGCAGCAGCAGCCGTTGCAGCAGCATACTTCGCGGCACCAGTCGCCGCAGCCGCAGACGCAGCAATCCTCCTCGCCGCTCTTCGGCTGTCCTCGTGGGTCGCCAGAGAGTGGCGTGCTCAGCCGAAGTATCACGTCACCCCCGCCCAGGCCGCCTGCGCCCACTCGCGCGGTGGCCGCCGCTCCGTCCCCTTCGCCAGGCGTGCCGCATTGCCCGACGTCCCACGCGCTTGCACCGACGGCGCGAATCCAATTCCAGCGTGCCGCCTTGTGCCTGCAGGCGTCTTGCCGACGGAGGCCGTCGAGGAGCGCTAGCCGGACTCGTACGGCGTTTTTTTCGAGACTCTCTCGCCGCCGCGGCTGAGCCTTCTTCCTCAAGCGTGTGATCTCCAGCCGTCCGTTTCCACTTGCCATACCGACGAGACCGCCCGCGCGACCGCCCGCGCCGCGTGTTTTTATTCATCGGCTCACATCCTTGCACCGTGCATGTGTGTCGCGTCACGACGCGCGTGGTGTGAGTGTGTGGAGTGCGTGGGCTCGTCAGTCGCTAATAGTATATGAGAACACAAGAGTGTGTCCGCGACGGCGTCCTCGGACCTCGCGCGCCTCCGCGCGCTCTCGACTCGCATCGTCTCGCTCCGAGCGACTCGCTGAGTCTCGGCTCGAGAGTCGAGTCTGCAGTCTCGTCCGGGGCGCGGTGTCTACTCTAAGTGTAGATCGCGCGGCGGTTCTATCGTATCATCGCGGCCAAGCACTGAGCCCTCTGAGGCGCAAGATCCGCCAGCCCCGCCGCCTTCGCGCAATACACCCTCCGAGCCGCTCGTCGGATCTGGGACGGTCCACAATGTCGGCTCGGGTCCGCCTTTGCGCGGCGCCGCTGCCATAGGCGTAGCAAGTTCGACCAGCGCGAGCGCGCACGCGCCGCCCTCCCTGGCCAGACGGAGAGCGTCGCGAGCAGCCTCCCGTGGTACTGCGACTTGTACTTGAGCAGGCCAGCGGTCGGGACGGGTCCATCGTTGAGGAAGAGCGGGGGTGGCACGCCCACGCTGCCACCCTCGTGGATACCTTGCTCTCTCCACCAGCGGGCAGCCACGTGCAGCAGCAGGGCCGACGGGTCCGCCCGCGGGTCGGGCAGGCTGTAGTCATGGACGCCATCGACAGCAACCACGGTGCGCCCAACCCGCTCGGTGACGACGTATGCCGCCACCTGGTCTGCAGCACCGGAGCGGATGACAAAGAGCGCTACGCCGTACCCCGGTGGGTCCTCTGGCGACGGCCCCTCCTGCCGTTCCAGCAGGGCCAAGAGGTAGGAGCTCCGCCTCGGCGCCCCAGCCCAAGGTGGGCCAAGGTATCTCTCCCCTGCCTGCCTTGCCGCCCTGCGGGCGTCGTCCGCGCGGCGCCGCATCCAACCCTCCCGGCAGCGCACGCAGCTCGCAATCAACTCGGCCGAGACGCGGCAGCCGGGGAACGCCTCGACGCGAAGGCTGCGCTCCGCCATTGCCGACTCCGCCCTGCGGCAGGCCTTGCGAAATGACCGGTCCGCTCGGCTGGCGAGGGCGGAGCAGCCGTAGACGTACTCGTGCGCAAAATGGCGAACGGTGACGTCAGCGCCGAGGGGCGATAGCTCTCCAATAATTCCAAGCCTTTGCGCCTGCTGGGGCGTGAGCAGAACAGGCTCGCCAGTGGCGGCAATTGAGGCGGCAGCGTGTTCGAACGAGCCCACCACGAGCGGCGGCGTGCTTCCCATCGCACGCGCGGCTACGCTGCACGCCCACCAGGACACCGCCTCCTCGTCCGCAGCCTCGTCGGTCACGACGAGCGGTCGAGCAGCTCGGCGTGCCTGCATTGGGGCGTGGCCACCCGGGTACCCGGGTAGGGCCTGGCGAGGTACTCCCACGCCTCTCGGGGTTTTTGTCTGGCCGAGTTGCTGGGGCGAGCCTCGGCGAGACTGCGTCAGCTGTTCCCACAGCAGGCTGGAAGTACCTCGCCAGGGTAGGGCGAAGCCGGCCAAAAATCCGAACCTCCTGTGTGTGTGTGTGTGTGTGTGTGTGTGTGTGTGTGTGTCCCTTGTCAGGAGCAGGAGAGTCCCACCTGTGCCCCTGATCGTCCTTCCAAAATCCTGCTCGTGCAGGTGGGGACCCTGTCCTCCTCCCCCATCCCTCGTTAGGTTAGGTTAGGTAGAAAGGTGAAGAACAGTCGTTTGGGTTTGTCTGTTTTCTTTCTTTCTTTTCCCTGGGTGGGCGGCGCCTCAAGTCGCCAGAGCGGGACACCGGTATGCAAGCGGAGAAAAAGAACTATTGGCTGGCCGTGATACACACGTTGACATGCGGAGATGCGGTTGCGGACGCTGCGGCCCGCGGCAGCCTCATATGATTTCGTATTCGGACCCCAGCTGGCTGCCCTCGTCGCCAAAACGAATCTGGACGGCACCTTCCGTGTCCCGTACCTCGAGCGCGTCCACCTCGTCGAGCTTGCCGAACAAGCCGCGTCCGCCCCCCTCGTCGACACGCGTCCTCCTGCCGTTCAGCGCAGCGAGCTCGTCCTGTGCACAGCAGTCGCAACGGGTGAGACCTCGGCCAACCTCGAGGGTCAAGTGACCGGTCCGGACAGTCCTTCATGGCCCCCAGGGTGAGCTTGTTCCGGAACGCGGGTCGCAAGCTCGCACAGAGCTTCGACTGCGCGAGCGGGTTCTTCATCGAGATGTAAAACTGGCGGCGCACCTTGTCGCGGCTCTCGTTGGCGGAGCCGCAATGCAGCGTCTGCTGATTGTACAGTGCTAGGTCGCCAGCCTTGAGCAATCCCAGCTTCACCTAAAGAGGGCCAGCGGCTCGTCTCGCGAGGGTCTCGGAGGATCACCGCACCAAACGTCCACCTCGCGCGAGCGGAGGAACTCCTCGGGGATGGGCGGCCGCCGCACGCCTGTTGCCACCGCCACCTCGTGAGTAGACGCGTCCCTGGTGTGCTTTCCTACGGGCGGCCGCCGGGCTGCCCGAGACACCCGCGTTGCCCAAGCTGAGGTCGCCGCCGAAGAAGGACGTGTGCGCCTACTCCGAGGTCAAGGGGCAAATGCACGACGTGCGCCCCGGCGGGAGGCCGTCGGTTATGCGAGCGCGCGCGCCTCTTTGGTCTGCGTTCCAGGCAGGTAGAGTGTGGGCCCCATCTCCACGTCCACGTCCTGCAGCGCGATGAAGGCCGTGTACGCCGAGGGGATCGGCGTCCACGGCGTGTCCGGGTGCAGGGGCTGCTGCGCCGAACCCGGCTCCGAGGTGAGGCAGGCGAGCTCCTGGAGCACTCCCGCCTCGCCCACCACCTCCTGCAGCAGCGGGCCGAGGACAGAGCCCTCGCCGAGCAGTTCCTGCAGCGCCGCGATCGGAGGACCGTGGAGCGGAAGGAGCAAATCACACCGCTTGTCCAGCAAGACGAGGTCGGCAAAGCGAGCCTTTTGATCGCAGCGGCCGGCCTTGACGTCGGCGGTGGCCTGGACGCGCTCCGCGTCTACAAACTCACGCAGCTCTTCCACCAGCGCCGGCGAGAGCGCGCCGTCGATTCGAACCACGCCTGACGCCTTTAGCTCGGTGGCCAGCGCCGAGAGCGGTCGCGCCCGCGAACCCTTTGTCCTAGTCTTCTTCTTCTTCTTGACCTGCGCGGCTGCAGCCTTTGCACCGAAGCCAATCGGGTTGGCAGCCCGCTTCTGTTCTATGGCGACTAGTGCGGTGCCGGGCTGCAGGAAGGAGCGCTCCATGACTCCTCGTCGCGCGGTGGCCTTGTTCCGCTCCGCCTCCAAGCCCGAGGCTTGCATCGTTGGAGGCCGAGTGCGGCAGCGCGCAGCGAGACCGATGTGCAGCAGCGAGAGCAACATTGTTCTGCCCCTGCTCGACTGGCGAAATCGAAGGAGGCGCCGGTGAAGAATTCATGAGCGGGGCAGAGTGCGTGGACACCGACGCGTGTGACACGTGCGCGGTGGTGGGCAGCTCCGACCGCCTCCGGCTGCACGGCAAGCACGGCGCCCTGATAGACGGCGACCAGTGCGTCTTTCGAGTCAACCACGCGCCGACGAGTGGCTACGAAGACTACGTGGGCAGCTCTGTCGCGTGCGTACCGCCGGAAGCCGTAAAGGGTCCGTTTTCTTGAAACGTGTACCAGCACCTGGTCCCAGGCGCATAGAGAGCTAAGTGCTGAGTGAGGCCCGGGCTGGGTGCCCTGAAGCGTGGGGACCCACGGGGTCCGGAGAGAGGTACTTTCTAGGGTACTTTCCTACGGCGGGCGGGTGATCGCCGAGGGAGATTTGCGGAAAAAGCGATCACTTTAATGATTCACAAATCTCGGTAAATCTCCGTAAAGTTCTGTGAAAGATAATCACATGCTTGTATTTTCGTAAACTTATTCGCAAACTCACTAAAAAGCTCGTCTAAATTTTCCGACGCACGTCCAAATTTTCCTAAACTTAAGAACACACGAGCATCGAGGCACCGAGCGCCGAGCACCGAGCAACAAGCAACGAGCATCGAGGCGTCGTCGTCGAGGCCCGAGGCCCCCATGGCGCACGAGCGTCGCAAGGTCGCGCGCCCCGTAGCGTCCCTCACGTGCGCCTTGGCCATCGACGCGAGTCGCAGGCTAGCGCGGCATGCCGCATACGCCACGCCGCACGCGTCGGTAGACGGCGAAGGCTCGCGTGTCGCCCGCCAGGGCGCACGGAGCGCCCCGCGCAGGCGGCGCACGGGGCGCGTCGCGCGGCGTGCGCGGCTCGCGGGGCGTCGGACACGGAACGCGCGCTTGGCCGTCGACAGAGCATGCAGGGTGCCACGGCGTGCCTAGCCGAGCCCGATGCGCGTGCGCGTCAACGGCGGAGCGTGGGCGACGCCCGTTACGCGTGGCGCCAAGACTTGCGACTCATACTGTACAGTAGACTCCGGTGACCGAACTTCCTGTGGCGCGCGCGCCGGTCGCGACGCCGCGCGCGTATCACCGCATGGCGACGCGGCCTGCGAATGCCACCTTCGTGTATGCGATCGGACTCGAGCACACGGGACACCACTTTTGGCACCCACTCTTCCCGGCATCGAAAGTGATTCACAACCTGATGAGAAACTTCACGCTGTACAATAACCTGTCGCTCGCTAGCGAGATCGACGTGCAAAAGCTCGCAAGATCGCAAGCTGTGGCTACCCTTGCCGCCGCTTTTGACTCCGAGCGGCGGCGCGCCGCGGCAAGCGTCCCGCGCGTGCCGCTACTGGGCATCGTGTCCGGATCCTATCCGCAGGGATCCACGCACGTCAGTCCCGACGCAACGCTCCTCGATGAGGGCGCTCGCGCCGCCGGCGCAGACCTCCGCTTTCTGGTGATGCTGCGCGATCCCGTGGAGATCGTGCGCCAATTCACCGAGACGCGCATTGCGATCCTCGCGCGTAGCTGCCGGCTGATGCGCCTGCAGGTCGAGCAGATTCTGCGCGAGGGGTCCTCGCCAGTATTCTTTCTGCCGTACTGGAACACTCTCGAGCTCGCGTCGCCGGTCTCGGACTTCCTCGGCATCGACTTGCGCGCCGCCGTGAGCCGCTCTTTCCACCCAAGCAACCGCTCGACGACGGTGCGCGAGCAGCTGCACAGCGGGCTGGCCTTGCATCGCTCGTGGGCTGACTTGAAGGACTGCTCCACCCGCCTCGATCGCATCCATCTGCACCACTTGCAGAATGCGAAGCGGGTTGTGCCTCCCGTTCCAGCCGAGCGACAATCTGAGTCCAATGTATCGTCTATGACATGAGGGTGAAATGCCTCTCCCGTTGCCATTGCCCTTGACTATCGCGCATGCCGCAGCGATGGGGCGTGACACGCTGCCTGCCCATGCCCGTGGTGACGCCGCGCGACCGCATCACGGAGGAGCGTTTGTCGCGAATGTCCATGGACAGCGTGGACAGCGTGGACGCGCCTCTTTCTCTGACCTCTCGCGTGCTGTGGTACAGCGCCGAACGGCTGCTCCTGCGCCGCAGCCATTTATCGGAGCAATGGCGCAGGTGGTCGCTTTGTGCAGCACTCGCCGCGCTGTTGGCATTGGTCGCTGTCTGCGCGGTGCTGGCACTCGAGATGTTGCTAGGAAGACGACTCACCGGGTGATTGGCGACGGGACGATGCGATTGCTCCTTGGCGACTACACGGTGGCCAGCAATCGGCGGGGCGTGGAGGCTGCGACCTGTCAGGGCTGCGAGTCGCTGCATGGGAGCGCGCCGAGCGACGCGCGCTCGATCTGCCGCGCCGATAGCGGCGAGGCGTGCGTCTACGCGCCGGGCGAGGTACGAGGCGGCCGGTCGCCGCATCTTTCTACGGCTGAGCGAGCAGCGCGCGGCTCTGAACCCCACGCGCCGGCTTTGCTCGGCGCGGCCGGCGTTTGAGCGTGCCGCGATGCAAGTCAAGGCCGAGAGCGGGCGCGGCGTGCGCAGCGGAAGCGACGAGTACCGTCGCCTCGCGCTCTCGGGCGGATTCCTCACGCTCCTAATGGCGCGAGAGCTGTGCAACAAGGGACAGCGCATCGACGTCTTCGGCATGGAGACGAATGCCAGCGACGACTGCTGCCGCGACATGAACCGTCGCTACGCCTACTACCAGCCTCAGAGCCACCACAAGTGCTGCATCCGGTCGCGCGAGACGCGCGACCAGCATGAGATTGCGGCGTGGGAGCACTTCCAGCGCTCCGGGGAGGTGGCGCTGCACTAGCGAGCCTCACCGCTCACGCTCCTCGGCGCTCGGGCTCAGTGTATAACCATCCCTTTTTTTTGGCAGGCTCGCGCTCCGTTGAAGCGATTTTCAGGTGGCCCGAGTTTCCCCCTTTCTTTTTAAATTACCGTACTGTACTCTATCTACTCTACTCAGAACTCAGAGTCGAGGAGTCCGTGTGGAATCAGCTCATGCAGAGGAATCACTCGGTGCAGACCGACTGGACCCTTCATGGGGTTCCGCGTGTTGTCGAGGCAGGCAGTGCACCTGCGCCACGCAAACGTCTCAGCGCCAAAGGCCTCGACTCGTTTGGCGAGGTCGTCATCACGCGGCTTCGCCAGGAGTTTCCGCAGGCGTGCCGGCTTGACGAGATTCATTGCCCACTGAGACTTTGAATAATGCTCCGCAGACTTGCTCGCGAGGCAGGCGAAGCAGCGTTTGGTAGCCGTCTGTGGCGTGTCTGCGGCCGCCGCCGACGGCGCTGCGACTGCGGCCGCCGTGCCGTCGCAGCTCCGCAATGTTCCCATCCAGAGAGAGGGGTACAGGGGGGAGCACAGAGTGCATATCCTATGCGAGAGAGATCCCCTGCCCTGTGCCCAGCCCTCTCCGCGCGGCGATGCGCCCCCCCCCCCCCCTCGCTTTTGCAAAATCCTGCAAAGGTGGGGACGTGTCTGTCCTCGACCCAGCCCTAGCTTGGGATGTCCTTTTTATTTAATAAATAAAAAAAAGATGCCCTCAGACTCGGCTAAATAAAAAAATAAAAACGGACACCTCTACTGTGAGATGGGTAAAAAGGAACAGGTCCCCGCCCTTGCGATCTTTGTGCAGGGTGATTTGTGGATGTGGTCGGCGACTAGCCGGGGTCGTCCTCCCGATCGATGGGGGACTAGCACTAGCCGTCTTCCACATACATGGTCCCTCGGGTCCCTGCTGCTCCTAATCTCTTCGTACATCCTCCTGCTGATCTCCGCAACGTCCTGCTCCCTCCCTCGTCTCGCCCTGCGCGACTGCTCCGCCTCACCGTCGTCTGCCCTGCGTCGTCTGGTGACGGGTCCTCCATAGTCGGTTGAGGTCGCCTCCCCTGGCTTAGCTCTCAGACTCAGTCAAGATATTGTGCACATGGTCGGTCTCTACCCCCGGCCGCGGCGCGGTGCGGCGGCGTCACAAATCCGAACGCAGAGCACCGGGACGCGGTCGGGCGATCTGAGGCCCAACCAAGTAGGCGTATGCATTGCCCATCCATCCAGGGCTATCACCTGGACCCAGGGTTAAGAGGAGCACTTGCGGTGCACGATGGACGGGCCCGACTCGTCGTACTCCTGCCTCGAGCTCAGTAAATTCTTCTCTTCTTTCTTTCGTACCGATGCCGTAAAATTCTTTTTCCAAACATCGCATTTTACCAAGATGTCGCGCCAACGAACGCGCGTCACGTATTGATGGCAGATGTTGGGCTGTCGGACCTTGAGCTTGCAGAGGCAGCGGCTGCTGTTGAGGCTGCACAGAGAGACGACGAGGGCTGCTGCGCGTTGTGGATGGGTTGGTGCCGTTCAACCGTGTCATGGGTGGACTGGCAGCAGCGGCGGCAGCGGCAGCAGCAGCAGCAGCGGTACGAGCCCGTCCCAGTGGACACAGGTACGGTGGATGAAGAGGACGCTGGCTCGACGGCTGAGGAGGTGGTGGAGATGGACGAAGATACATTGGAGGTGGAGGTGGACAAAGATACGTTGCTGGCGGCAGGGGTGGTGGCGGCCGTGCAGGAGCTCGAAGCGAGAAGCGTTTCCGAGGAGACGGAGAGTTTCCGACCCGGCGAGTGGCGGCGGCAGGACAAGAAGCGACGATCGGCTGCGGCAGTTTCGGCAGGGGATGAAGCGGCGAAGGCCTGGGCAGCGCAGCTAGCCATCGAACTTGAGGTATCTCCCCCTCCCCCCCCCCCCACACTAGGAACTTCCCAGGGCGGCCCGCGGCCCTCCGCCACACATGTCGGTTCCTACTCCAGGCAGACGCCAGTGCTCGCGCGCGGCTCGAGGCAGCGGTGCGAGAGAAGGACGTGGATGGGCTGAGGGCAGCGCTAGCGGCGATGGAACAGCGGGGGTGGAACCGTCCCGAAGCAGAAACCAACTAGAAGACAGGGCAAACGTCCGCGTGAAACGGGACAATAGGCTCGCTGATCTCGAGTACGACGCACGAGACCTTGATGCCGCCAAGGCGCTCCTTTCCTCCCTGGAGATGAGCCGCGAACGCGCGTGACTCGAGGCGCGTGCGACCGTGTCCGTGTGAGCTCCCACGTCCCAGCACGCAGCACGGGCGCAGGGCGCGCAAATTCTTCTTTTGGACTTGAAGGACGGGGTTTTCGACAACGTTGGGGTGCTAAGTAACCTGAAAGCCTGTGACTGTGCCCCTCGCCTCAAACGGCGTGCCGATGATCTCTCTCTCTCAACAAACGAATACGGGCACCTCCTACACAGGGATATTGGTACAAAGAATCCTCGCTGCACTCAAAGACTGCACGGCGGGGACCTGTTCCTTTTTACCCATCTCCTAGTAGAGGGGTCCGTTTTATTTATTTATTTAGGGATATTGGTCGGGGACGGGGTCTCCCCGGCGCGCTCTCTCTCCGCGCGGCCTACCGCCAGAGACCACGCGCAAACCTTTCTACATGCTCCATGTGCTCCAAATGCCAGGCTCCGGCCGAGGGATTGGCCGGAGGCAGTGGCGGCGGCGGTGGCAAAGGCGAGGAGGCGGAGTACCGCTTCCTAGCAAGTCAGGCACTTGGGAGCACTTGGAGTGCAGTCGGTACAGGCGTCGTCCTCCGGCGGAAGCTCCGCGTCGCCCGCGGCCGCTTCCCGAGCGCGCTCGTCGCGCATCCGCTCGTGGTGGGCCTGCCGACGCGCCACGCCGGCGCCCGTGTGCCTCGCCGCCGCGTCCGGCGACGGCCATCGATGCTGTCCACCCGAGCGTGACTCGCAACTCCACAAATCCACGGCCAAACCGGCTCTCCCCACCAAAGTTGAGTCACTAGTTACATACCTCGAGGTACCTAAATACACACACACGATGACCGACGACGACATACAAACTCCTCTCACAAAGAGGGGTCCCGTACCATGCGGAATCGACCCTATCCCCCTCCCCTCTTGCACAACAGGAATTTTGACAATTAACTGATGGGCTTGCCCATCCCGGAGTGGTTCGACTCCACACAAATCCGAGACGGTGATGGATGCGTCGTACAATGGTCTCAGGCCCAGTGAGGTAGTGCATCTGACTATCCCGGATCCTGCTGAACAAGCTCCTCTTGTAGCTCGATCGGTCACACCGACCGCCATCGCCGTCGGGGAGAGGGGGGACGACACTGCTTCGGCAGCGTGCACCTCGATCCTGCACCGTGTTTATTGTGACCCCCCCCCCAATGAACACACCAGTGAGGGAGGGCGAGACGATCGAGGGGTCCCGTACCATGCGGAATCGGCCCTATCAAGTGCTCAAGTGCTCAAGTGCTCAAGTGCTCAAGCTCAAAACGCGAATTCGTTACGTTGTCTTTGTCGGCCGGAACGAAAGCACGATGGCCGACGCGACTCTCCATCTGACCGGCGAGCTGCTGCTGCAGCTCATTCCGCCCATCGATCATATTGTCGAGCGGGCCAGAGACTCCTCTCCTCCCCGCAGAGCTCGGGCGGGGAGAGAGGGAAGACAGCTCGCCCGCCTGCTCTCCACGCGTAGCGAGGCCAGGCGTGACATGGCAGAGGCATCTCGGGCCCTGCCAGGCCGGCTGGCTGACAGTGAGCAAGCCATGGATCCGGAGGCTCTTGCACAGGCGCGTGCGCTTCACGCGTCGCTCGCTCAGACCTTCGCCCTGGACGGACAATCCCCCCTGGAAGGCACCACGGCGGCGAGGCTCTGCGAGGAGCATAGGGTCCACGACAGAGCTGTGAGGGCACTGATCGAGCGGCTTCCGCAGGGCAGCACCATGGGGTGTGAGTGGAGGCACGTCCTCGAGGCGATCCGCGGCCGGCTTGATCACCTCGTGGCGGCAGCTCTTGCGCGACCTCCTCTCGGAGGAGACTGGCACTGGCCTACCGGTGAGGCTCGCTCAGCCCGCGCAGCGACAGGGTGCCTCGATGCCTCGGAAACGTTGCGCTACAACATCGCCGCGATGGTGGGCCTGCTGAGAAGGCGCGCTGACCTGAATTCCGCCCCGTCCCTCCTCTCGTCACCTCCGCACACCCCACCCGTGCAGATTGGAGGCTCTCATCGGTCCTGAGTGCAGACTGCCGATCCTCGGGCAGCAGCAATGGCGCCGCAAAGGGAAGCGCGCAGTGCCGGAGGCAGCCCAGGGCCAGAGCGTGTCGCGTGCTGCAGAGAGCATGCGCCCGGCGGGAGAGGCGACTCCGGTGCGCACCATGGCGGTTGCTCCCGAGGCAACAGTGGACGACGTGGTACCGCCAACAACATTTGCTCGAGTGCGGAGCATACTCGAACCCGTGGCTACGGCGGCTGAGAACGCACTGCGTCGCCTCGAGGCGCTTGAAGCGTCGTGCCAGTCGCGTCCGATCACACCAACCAGGGGGGGGGAGCCCGAGGTGTCAAGATCTCCGGATCATGCCGTGTATGCCACCACCTCTCGTCAAACAGAGGTGTGTGATAGCGGGCGGATGGTGGCATCGCAGAGATCGGAGCTTCTGGTGGAACACGAGGCGAGAAAGGCAGTCCAGGAGCCGCAACTCGTACTCAAGAGGTGCCCGCAGGTGGAACACGAGGCGAGAATGGCAGTCCAGGAGCCGCAACAACTCCAGAGGTGCCCTCCTCCGCCTCCACAGGCATCACTGCCGCCAACTGCGCAGCACATGACGGAACCCGAGGGCGGGGGCGCTATGTTGGAGCTCGAAGGGAGGCTGGCGTGGATCCGAGGCTACCAGGGTGCGGTTCCAGCAATGGACTGGGGCTTCGAGGTCGTCGACGACGACGAAGATGAGGCCACATCGGAGGAGGGTGGTCAGGCGGACGATTACGGCGGGCAGTTGGACGAGGCTCCTTCGTCCAAAACAATCACTGAGGAGGAAATCGCAGTGGGCGATGATATGGAGGAGGAGGGCGGCCCGGCGGCGCTGAAACACGGAGGGGACGGCGCAGAAGAACTTTGCAAAAACGAGGTCGCGGAGGAGTGGAGGGCGGAAGTGGAGGAGGTAGGCAGTTTTGAGGAATTCAGCGGGAGCGAGTATGGCAGTGACGGTGGTGTGGACCAGCATCGGTGTGGACCAGTGTCGACAGTGACGGCAGTGATGGCGATGAAAGCTATGGAGGTACCTCTCGCATGGGCCAATCACCTAGAGCCCGACCGTTGCTCGTCTAGCGAAGACAGCGTTGATGACGATTGCCCTCAGCTAGCCTTGGCAGCTGGACCATCGCCGCAATGCGACGAGGCTGCTTTAGACGATGGCCTGCGGCATAGCGACAGTGCTGATGAGGCTGCTCCCCATCTAGAATCCGAAGGAGCTGCAAAGGTGGTGATCTCCGCAATCGCTCGCGCCGTGCGGAGGGCAGTGGTGACGGTCGCAGTTGCGTCGGTCTTGCGTGGCGTTGTCAACGCGGCGAGTCCCCCGACACCCGAGAAGGTGCCGCAGAGGACAACGGCGTTGTTCGTGGGGTCTCCCCAGCTAACGCCGTCGTTGGCAGCGAGAGAGACCTCGCCAAGCGAGTCGCTAGACTGGGAGGAAACTTACTTTGTCGACAGTGACAGGCCGTGTGTGACGAAGATGGAGGGCGATGCGACGGCAGGTGAGGTGGAAGCAGCAAAGGGGCTGGAAGGTGAAGAGACGGCGGAGAAGCAAGTTGTAGGCGGGGGCGGTGCGGCAGCGGCGAGCAAGAGCGAGGGCGGGGGCGAGCTAAAGGCGACGGAGACGGAGTCCGAAACCGAGAAGGCGCTTGGCGAGGTTGGAACCTGCGAGGCGACGGAGGCTGCTGCGAGTGGTTGCGTTGCCTTGTGTAGCAAAGAGCCAGTGCAGGATAGGGAGGGAGAGTTGCCAAGTGCGTCCATCGAGGCAGCGGACGCTCCCCCAGCCCCATCTTTGCGGAGCGGATGCCGCCGATATGAGGTTCTGCAGGCAGAGATGAAGCTGCTGCGGGAGGCAATGGCAGCGGCGCAGCTGTCGGAGGGATGCGACGATGAGCTCGAGCGGTTGCGATCGGAGTTTGAGGCACTACGGAAGGAGCTGGCACAAACACAGAGCGCCGCGTGCTTGGCGCTGCACTCCGCAGCGCCGGGACGGGTGATGCCATCGCAAGACGCGGAGGCTATGGAGTCAGCAAGTGGGCCACGAGAACTCGTAGCACAGCAGAGGCAAGCCCTCATTCATGATGCTCTCCTGACATCAAAAGACGACATTGACATTGCAACCTCCTGCAGCTATCACCGAGAGTCCATCGCCGACTGTCTACCGTCGGACATGCCAACGTGGGACTCGCTCGAGAGCAACGAGACCGATCGTCGGAGGGCCCAAATCGAGGCGGGCGAGTGTTCCATCTTCACCTACGGGCGACCGGGGTCCTGGGCGATCGAGGCAATCGGTATCGGAGCCAATCCGACGATGCCGCAGCTGCTCGACCGCGTCGAGATGGAGCACGCAAACTGCTTGCATTTGGCGCCGGCGGGAGCACCGCTCCCGTCCCGCCGCAGAGTACGAATCGTGGGGGTATAGTTGATCATCACATACGTGCCGCGGCATATGCTTACATGGCTACCTACGGACACTCACTTCCATTTTAAATAGTCTGAGCATGAGACAAATGGCTCTCTTTGACCGCTTGCAGAGGAGTAACCGGCACGGGGGTACTGGGTAGAGTAGAGCTGTGGGTACTGCCGATGTTGTGTACGACGCTTACCGAGCGGGGGGGGCGTGTCCGGGTCGCTCTCCTCGCAGTCAGCCCAGCGCGCGCCACTCATCATACTCGAGTGTGTTGAGCCGAAAGGGGCAGGAACACTATCATCTACAACTATACCTCCGCAGTCGGAGAGATAGACCCACAACCCACGCACCCAAAGGACACATACATGGAGGGCCCTCCCTGCTGTTGTTGTTGCCAGCGAAGCCGAGGTTGATGAGTGTGGACGTTACTTTGCGCGCGTCCAGAGTCGCGCGTCCAAGCCCCCTCAGCCTCCCTCTTGCAAAATCCCCAATGAGGGGCGTCACAGACGCCCTCCCCCCAGTCCTCTCGGGGCCCTCTCTCATAGGTCTGCGGAGATGGAGATGCGATGCGTATCGATGTTTGTGTCGAGCTCGACCGCCTCCCCATCGTCGGGAGGAGCGATCACCATCGGCGCCTCGGGCGGCTTGGGCTTATACCTGCGGCACGCGTGGCGCGGGTTGAGGAGACTCCATGCCGGACGCGGACTAGCTAAAGGGTCGGGACAAACGGCTGGGCGAGAGTGGCTGCTGCGCGCGCCACGTCGTCTCGCGGGTGTGGACGTTGTAGTAGTACGGCCGGCCAGAGTTGTCGTCGATGTACTCGAGCCACCCGTGGGGCAGCACGCCCTTTTGCGCGTTCATCACCGAGAGGCCCGCCTAACAACTCCGAGGACCCGTTTGCCGAGACGCCGCACGCACGGCTCCCTCCCGAGCCGCGCATCTCCGCCGACCTGCTGCACGATGATCGAGCCGACGAGCTCCATAAGCTTTTTGACCGCGAGCTCCTACGCGGCAAGAGCGGCCGATCCGGAGCGTGTGCTGACGGATGCCTCTCGCCTCGGAGCTGGCGGCGCCGGCTGGATCTCGCGCGACGCCAGCCCAGCTAGCAACTTGTCCAGCGGCGCGGCCATCTCCTCGCCCACGCACAGCTTGGTCTCCCGAATGAGCGCCTATCCAACACCGGGGGCGTCGCATACCTCCATAGACCGGCATTGCAGCGGACGCGGAGGCGATGCCCACCGAGCAAGAGATGTGCACAGTGCGAGGGTTGGCGCCGGCTTTGCCACCCGACCTACGCCCCCAGAGCATCGCGTCTGAGGAGGCCGCCATGGCAGGCTGGTGTCCACCCGGGGAGAGTACCGCTCCGCCGGAGTCGACTGGGAGCGCCGCGAGTTGACGGGCGAGGCGTTGGTGGAGGCTCCGCCTTTCCTCCTGCCGAACGAGCTGCTGCGCACTGCGCCGCCCGCCGCAGCCTTCTTCCGGCCAGGGACGATGGACATGGCGCGGGCAAACAGCCTATTTGCGCAGCACGCCTCGAGCCGAGAGGGTACAAGGCGCTTCCAGCGCTCCCAGCCACGCACCCCGAGTCGGGTTCGTCGCCGCCATCCTCCTCGCGCATCGAGTTGCTGTCCGGCGGCGCCTTGCGAAGAAGGGAGGTCTCTGTGCGGGTAGCTGCGAGCGCGAGCTGTGCGAAGCCGCGCCCGTGGGGCCATCGGGCAGCGTGCGTCTGGTCCACACCCCTCTGTGTGCATGTGTGCTCGAGAGAGGCACCTCGGTCTCGGCGGTAGGAAACGTGAAGATCGTCTTGCGTTGCGCCTTGTTCGTGTAGCACGCGCGCCCCGACTCGTGGAGCGACTCAACCCACCCGGGAGGCAGCGCCGGAGGAACCTACGTGCCAACCGATCCGAGCCGTGTCACGGCCAGCATGCTGCCTGGGGCGTCGAGCAGCGCTGCCTCGACAGAGCGGCGGTGAGTGATCGAATTGACGTACACCGTCGAGCCGTCCTCCTCCTTCACCTCCTTCCAGTTTGGTGGCAGCTTCACCTGTGACCGCAAGAGGCGACTTCGTCACTCACACACGGCCGCACGGAAGCGCACCTTGGCGCTGAGCGGGTGAGCACCTTCCCGCTCTTTGTGGACACTGGTGCCCTCCTCCGAAAGAAGGAGCCGGTGCGCTCCTTCTTTGAAGTGATGGTGCCGTCGGCGTCGTGGTTGTTGTCCGTGTCGGTGTCGTCAACCATGCAGCTCGGCCTCCTCCTAGCGCGGCTCTGGGCAAGCCGCCGCAGCCGTCCGCTTTTTCGCATCACATGGCGGATGAAAAGAATTTTACAACAAAACTCCCTCGCACAACACTGGGCACAGGACTGGGCACGGGACTGGCTCGCACTGGCACTAACACAGGTACACATGAAAAGAATTCTAGCGGCGCTTTTGGGTGGCGGTCGGCGGCGGCGTCGCAGGACGAGGCAGAAGAGAACGACGCGACAGAGGGGGAAGTGACAAGGGAGAGAACGACGAGAGTGGGACAGCCGCGAGGTGGCATGAAGGTTGCAGCGAGAAGCGGCGAGAGACTGCGAAAAGAGATACGAGGAGGCAGACCCCCCAGGGTGGGCGACGGCTAGCGCATCACACCCTCCTCTCCTTAAAATCCCTGTGTGGTGGCGGCGTGCCGTTCTCCCATCCCTCCCTTGGGTTGTGTGTTTTCTTTCTTTCTTTTTCGCGCGCTGCCGACGGCGCTCGCCGGCGCTACGGCGCTCGCGGCGCGCTCGTGGCGTTCAGGGCGGCTCGCACACGCACACACACACACACACACACACACACACACACACACACACACACACACACACACACACACACACACATGCATGCATGCATGCATGCATGCATGCACAGACACACAGCCCCTTCCCCTCCCCCCTCAAGACCTTCCCAAGGGCGAGGACACGCGCAGGCCGCACCTCTAGTGAGGCCCGCATAGTATGTGGGAGACTCATTGCCGCCGCCCCTGCCACCCCTGTGTCAGTGTGCCCGTGGTAGTGAGAGACTGCCGGTGAGAAGCCGGAGGAAGGTCGCTAGACTGAGATGAGACCGCCAGTGGAGTTGGGATTCCACCGTGGTTCCGTGCACCGCGCTGCGAGCCTGTCGTGTCCCTTGTCAGGAGCAGGAGAGCCCACCTGTGCCCCTGATCGTCCTTCCAAAATCCTGCTCGTGCAGGTGTGGACCCTGTCCTCTCCTCCCCCATCCCTCGTTTGGGTTGTCTGTTTTCTTTCTTTCTTTCGGGACTGGCGCGCACTGGCACTAACACAGGTACTCATTGCTGATGAAAAGAATTTTTAGACGCCCGCCGAGCCGGAAGTGCTCGTCCATGGCTTTGACCCAGGGCCGGTGGGCGCTGGTCCTCGCGGGGCGCCCACATGCGACCCTAGCACCAGAGTCTCTCTCAGTCTCTGTCGCCGCGGGCGTGTGAATTGACGAAGGCGGACGAGGGGCGGTCGCTGCCTTTGGCAATAGGCGCGCGAGACATAGGCGCGCGAGCGCCGGCGCACAGCGGACGAAGGGCGCCGCGCAGGGGGGGTCGAGGGGGGGCGAGAGGGCCCAGGGCCGTGGGTCGGGCGCGCACCGGCCGGCTCCGGGAGCGGCCGTCAGGTCGAGAAGGGGGGCTGTCGGCGGCTCGAGCGGCGAGAGCGCAGCTTGCCAGGCCGCCTATATGCGCTATGCCACTGCGCCTATGCCACGAAACGTGTTCTTCAAGCGCATCCAGAACGCATCCAACGCCTCTGTCTTCAAGAAGAAGAGTTTTAGCAATACCAAACAACTCTAACACTCGCGATGAGAGTCGTCAAATGCGCGCCAGGTGCTGGCTCCTTCACAGCCATCTTACCTATAAGGATGGCTGAGCTAGCTGCAGTGCAGCCACATCCTCCAGTCTAATGGCTGCAATACACACACGGCAGCCATCCTTAGTAGACATGGCTGGAGACGCACTACCGCAGCCACACCGCCCGCCTCGAGGTGAGCCCTCTTGGCTGACCTGGCTACATTGCAGCCATCTTCGGTAAGATGGCTGGGGGACAGCCATTTCAGCCATCTACTATGGCTGGGGCACAGTCAGTGCAGCCATCCTCCGGAGCATGGCTGGTGGTGATAATTCGATGGCAGCCGTCCACCTCCCCCGCCACACGCACAAATGGCTGCGCGCTTGTCGCCCCCGGTCTCGCGGGACGGCTGCCATCGGCTGTGCCATCGAATTACCACCAGCCATGGCTCTGGAGGATGGCTGCAATCTCGATGACGCAGCCATAGTATAGATGGCTGAAATGGCTGAAATGGCTGTCCCCCAGCCATCTTTCCCAAGATGGCTGCGATGTAGCTAGGTCAGCCAAGAGGGCTCACCTCGAGGCGGGCGGTGTGGCTGCGGTAGTGCGTCTCCAGCCAGGTCTACTACTGTCCAAGCCTAAAGTCTGCGCAGGTTGTGAGGATCACGAATCGATCCCGGCGTGAACACGACTAACTGACGGATCCGCTCCTGACAGTCGCACGGCTGCGGCGCGTGCGACTGTCTTTGTTTGAAGTTAAAAGTCGAATCAGAGCACGCCACCGTCGGCGCTGTCCCCGATTTCCTCCCACGGACCGCCCGTCCGGGACCGCTCCGGGACGCACGCCGGCGAAGCACCATCAAGCTGCTGCACGGCCCCGGCATCGCCTCCCCTGGCTTAGCTAGATTGAGAGATATTGTGGGCATGGTTGGTATCTACAATATATACGCTGACACTTTCCTCCCAGAGCTCGTCCCGGTCCGCCACGGCCATCCTCGGCCTCCGAAGGGCCCCCGGCCGCGGCGCGGTGCGGCGGCGTCACAAATCCGACGGCAGAGCACCGGGACGCGGTCGGGCGATCTGAGGTCCAACAAGGCGTATGGATTGCCCACCCAGGGCTATCACCTGGACCTATCAACAGGCGCCTGCGGCGCCGTGGTCAGGAGCTGCTGTTCACGCGGGTCCACACTTTCATAGTGGACAGTAAGGATGGCTGCCGTGTGTGTGTTGCAGCCATTAGACTGAAGGATGTGGCTGCACTGCAGCTAGCTCAGCCATCCTTAGGTAAGATGGCTGTGAAGGAGCCAGCACAGCCATTCTCGGCAGCTGATTCTGGGTCATGGCAGTCTCTCACTACCACAGGCACACTGACAGGCGAGTGTGAAGTTCTTCTGCGCGGTTCGGATATACGTAAAAAGAAAGAAAGAAAACAGACAACCCAAGGGAGGGATCGGTAATACGTATTTACATGGCTAGGGATCTGTTCCCGGGAGTGAACCAGCCGCGAGAATGCCTAGCCTAGGCGTGGAGGCCCGCGGCCCCTCGGAAACTCCGACCTTCGCCCGCGTGCCTTCCTGACACGAGGACCCGGCTGGCTCCTCCGCTTGTGGGCCTGCAGCCCTCTGGTTTCTGTTCCTTGTGGCTGATTGGGAGGTATCGAGTGGGAGATCACGGTGAAATTCTTCTGCGCGCTCGGATGTGTGTGTTGTATATGGTGGCAGCGGCCGCCATTGTCCGCGCTGCGTTCGCATCGGGTGCGGCGCCGCCTCCCGGCAGGTTGCGCGCGTGCTCGCGGTGCCACGGGGAGGGCGGGCTGTACACGCGGGGAAAGCGGCGCTCAGGTGGCGCCGCGGCCGTGATCCGCCGGCCGTGCGCGGCCTGCGGCGGCATCGGGCTCGTCGATGGAATGCTGCCTCCGCCGCGACATGAACCGGGGCCCCGGGACCGTGCGTTTGTCGGCACCGTAGCCATTGCTGGCGGCGGCATCGGCGGCGCCGCAGCGGCGCTGGCGCTGCAGCAGCGCGGCTTCCGCGTGGTCGTGTATGAGCGCGACTCAAACTTTGACCAGCGCGCGCAGGGTTACGGCCTCACGATGCAGCAGGGGGCGACTGCGCTGGCGCAACTCGGCCTGCCCAATGAGGGCGTCTTCTCGTATGCCCACTCCTCCTTCCTACCGGACGGAACGCTCCTCGGGGAGTATGGGCGGGGCGTGCACGAGAGCACGCGCGAGCGGATGGGCAACGGGAGAGGGAAGGCTCAGCGGCGCAACGCCCACATCCCGCGGCAGGCTCTGCGGGCGGCGCTTCTCGACCCGCTCCTGCCGGGGACGGTGCGGTGGGGCAAGGCAATCGCTCGCTTTGACGCCGGCGACTCGGGCGTCATCCTGCACTTTGAGGACGGCTCGCCACCCGAGCGCGCCGCGCTCCTCGTCGGCGCGGACGGGATCCGGTCGCGAGTGCGCGAGCAGCTGCTCGGCGCGGCACCGCTCGAGTACCTCGGCGTCGTCGTTGTGCTCGGGCGCTCGCGCACGTCTCACGCTGCGGCGAACGAGCGAGTCTTTCAGACCCTCGACGGCGACACGCGCCTGTACGTGATGCCGTTCGAGGCCGGCGTTGCGATGTGGCAGCTCTCCTTCCGACTGGGCGAGGCGGAGGCGCGGGCGATTCAGACCCTAGACGGCGCATCGCTCCGCGCCCTCGCCCTACGCCGGTGCGGAAGCTGGCACGAGCCGAGTCTGCACCCGCGCGGCACTCCCTGCGCCCTTCAACGAGCCTCCCAGGGGCCTCTCCGTAGGCACGAGCCGATCCCGCAGCTGCTGCAAGACACCGCGGCCGCGGACATCACCGGCTATCCAGCCTACGACCGGCCTTGCCCCGCCGCCCTCCGACAGCCCACCTCTGCCGGCGAGGCGCTCGGAGGGCTGGGTGGTGAGGCGGGTGGCGAGGTGCCGCCACCGACGCTTGCCACGGAGACACGGGTGCGCGCGCCGGTCGCGGGCGGCGGTGGCGGTCTCACCCTCATCCCCGGTCCCTCGACGCTCCGCTGCCAGGTCACCCTACTCGGAGACGCAGCGCACCCGATGTCGCCGTTCAAGGGGCAAGGGGCTAACCAGGCCCCACGTGCCGGGCGTCGCCGACATCGAACGGCGTCGAGCACCCCTCCCTTGTGCGAACAGGCCCTCCTCGACGGGATCGCCCTCGCCCGCGCCCTTCGCTCCCACGAGCTTCGCGGTGTCGTGCGGCGTTGCGGCCGCGCCAGCGGAGGTTCCCACTCAGGTCACGCGCTCTCTCTCTCAGGCGACGCGCATGTCTCGCTTGGCGCGGCGCTTTCCATGTTCGAGGCAGACATGCTCGAGCGGGCGCGCCGCAAAGTGCGTGCGTCGCGCGACGCGGCGGAGCTGCTGCACTCGCCCGAGGCGATGGCAAAGTCGAATTCGACGCGCGCGCGGTCGGCGAGGGACAAGCGGCAGCTCGAATCCACTACAGCAGCAGAAGAGGGGCGGGGGGGCGGTATAGCTTGATTGCTTTTTTGCACAACTGCTCCACGTGCACGCGGCGCCGTCCCCCGCTCGCGCCTCGCGGAAAATTCATCTATACGCCTCGCGGAAAATACAAAATTCACCGCAGTTGCAGGAGAGCTGAGGAGAAGGGGGGCGGCATAGCTTGATTGACATTCCATTGGTCATTGCAGTGAGAGAAAAAAGAAGAAGAAAGAAAACGGGGAGAACGGCAAAGGCCGCCCAACACAATAAAGAAAGAAAAACTTGCCGATTCCTCACCGCTCTCTTCGCGGCATGGCCGCCGACGGTGTGTGTGTATATGGCCGCCGACGACGGCGAGGTGCTTGACCCGCTCGACACCGACGGCATCAGCCAAGCACTGCAGGGGCACGGCTTCTGCGTCATCCGGCAGCTATTCCCGACCGCGACGGTGGAACGGGCGCGAGCGCACCTCGAGGCGGCGGTGGAGCGCCACCTGAGCTCCGCCGTCGCCGCTGGCGCCATCGATCGCATGCCCGCGGAGCTGCCGCTCGAAGAGCGAATAGCGGCTGCGTATGCGCACGCTCCAGAGAACGCTCCCGCATCATGGGTGTCAGCCATCCGCACGGCGCCCGCCTTCCACCACCACCTCTTCCGCGACGCCGCGCTGTGCAGCGTCGTGAAACGGCTCACCGGAAGAGAGCCTTGCGTGGCGGCGCGATATAACTGCCGCTGTAAGCTCAAGGCGGCGGCGGGCGCGGCGTTCCCGTGGCATCAGGACCATGCCTTCTTCCGCATGCAGTATGCGCTGCGCGGCGAGACGCCGCGTCGCCTCCTTGCCGCGTGGGCTCCTCTCACGGAGGTCCGTGGAGCGCTACTGTGCCACCCACTTTGTCACCGCCACCGCGTTCTCACCACTGCCGCCGCCACCATCCCCTCTCTCCCGCCAGGTCGGCGCGACCAACGGCGGCGTCCAGCTATCTCCCGGCTCGCACCGCGCCGGCTTCGTACCCCACAGGAGGGAGGGCGGCTTCTTAACCGCCGCTAGAGGCGCCTTTGCCGCCCGCAGCGGCGGCCCAGCCGCCGCGGCGCCAGAGGCGGTGCTCCCGGTTCTCTCGCCGGGCGACGTGCTGCTCTTCACCGACCTGACGATGCACCGCTCGGGCGTCAGCTGCGCGTCGACCGCACGCTGGTCGGCCGATTGGGCGTACGAGCTGGAGGAGGGCGACACCGTCTGTCCTCCGCTAGGGGCGGGGGCAGCGACCACTGAGGCTGTGGCGGTGGCAGCAGGAGAGGCGGCGGCGGCAGGGGTGGCGGTAGCAGCAGCGGAGCCGACGGCCCCAGCAGGGCAGCAGCGGCCGAACCGCGGAGTGCGGGCGGCCGCACCGCCAGAAGAGCGGCTCGACCCACCTCGCGTGTGCTGCGGTCGCGAGTTTACGCTGCGACGCGCGCTCGCCTCGCACGTCCGCAACCACGTCTCGTGCGGCCAGTGTGCCTTCGAGGGGTGCCTCGCTGCGCTCAAGCTTCACGAGTGGCGGGCGCACGGCGTCGGCGGCCCGCCAGCGACGACGGCACCACCTGCGGGCGCGGCCGCGACGTACACAGTTGGTCGAGCGGGCGGCGCTTTCGAGGTGCGCGAGGAGGTGGAGGCGGTGGTGGCGCCGCTGGAGGAGAGATACCCGGGCGCGGAGATCGTCTGGTCCATCGAGGACCACGCAGCGGGGGACGCGGCGGCGGCGGTGGCGTCGGCTCAGGCGCTCTCGCCGCCAAAGTGGCAGGACGAGGGCGAGGGAGAGATGGGCGAGGGAGAGATGGAGCTTGGGGCGGCCGTTCGGTGGCCCGCCGGCTGCCGCGTGCTGCTCCTCGTCGGCGTCGCCGGCAGCGGCAAGAGTCGGCTGCTCCGCGCTCTCGCCGCCGCCGCCGGCGGCGACGGCGGCGACGGCGGCCTCGTCGGCGCTCGGTACGCGTGGCCAACCAACCGGTCGATCCTCGATGTCCTCGGAGCAGATGGCCACCGATGGCTGGCCGCGGTGGGGCTAGGATCGGTGCCGCTGTGGTGCCAGCCCTACGCCGCACTCTCAACGGGCGAGGCGTTCCGCGCGGAGCTTGCACGGCGGCTGCAGTTGGCCGCCGCGTCGGACGCGCCGCTGCTCACCGTCGACGGTTTTTGCAACCACCTCGACCCGCTCTCCGCCGCTTGCTGCGCAGCGTCGCTCTCGCGCCACTTGCGGCGCGAGGGCCGCGGCACGCGAGCGGCGGTTGCTAGTTGCCATCCGCGCGTCGCCCATTGGCTGCGCCCCGACGCCGTCGTCGTGTGCCGCCCCGGAAGGAGTGCGACGGTGCTCCGCGTCGCAGACGCCCACACGCTCCTGCCGTTGCGCATCAGTGTGCTCGACGACGGCGCGGCGCCGCTCTCAACCGCGGGCGCGTTCGGCGAGGAAGGCGACGCCGAGGCGAAGGCGCCAGGCGGTGGTGGCCTCTCCGGCGGCGGCGAGGTTTTTGTGCACGCTTTGCGCAGGTGCGGCCTCCGCGTGGTCTCTGAGGCGTGCTTCGATGACGCGCCTCCCTTTCAGCCGGACGCGCACACGCCACCACCAACGGGCGGGCGCGTGCTGGCGTCACGCGTCGAGCGGACCGCCGCGACGCGCTCAGTCGAGAGCTTCTTCGACTTGCCGCACGACGGCACGTGCGCGAGGCGGCTGCCTCCCTTTCCGAGCGAGGCGCAGCTCGGCGGCGCTCGGCTTGGGCTCGTCTGCGGTGACGCTCCTCACCTGCACGCCCCTGCCCGGCAGCTCGCCACTCACCCACGGCCCTCTGGCCTAGGCCCGTCGGGCGCCGCCAAGTCGGCGCTGCTTGCCGCGCACTTTGGGCCGCCGCCGCCGCCGCGGCCGTGGCCGCGTGGCGCACGCCTTGCCCAAGTCTTTGCGAGCGAGGCGCAGGCGGCGCGTTGCCTCGCGGCGGTGGCGGCGCCGCTGCCAGCTGCGCTCGCGTGGAGCGGCGGCGAGTGCTCAGCGGGCGAGGCGGCGCAGGCGGAGCTGGCTCTTGCGCTCGCCGCGTCAGAGCCTCTGGCGGAGGGCGAGGGCAGCCGAAGCGGCGGCGGGAGCGGCAGCACGTTGCCGCCGTGCGTTTTTGACGAGTTTGGCTCGGCGTGGGACGAGGCAACGGCGACGCGGGTTGGCGGGGCGCTCACGCGCGCGGTGCGATCTGCCGGGTGGGCCGGCGGGCGCGTCGTCCTCGCCGGCTGCCACGTGTCGCACGTGGGGCCAGGCGGCTTCGAGCCCGATTGGGTGTTCGAGGCCGCCTCGGCGACATTATTCCGCTTCGCGCCGGGGGCGGCACCGGATTGCGGTGCGTTGGTGCCGGCGCAGGCGCGAGAGGGTGCCGGCTGCACGGCGGCGATGGGAGCGGCAGAGGTGGGGGGCGCGTCTATGACGGCAGCAGGTGACGACTCGGTGGTGAACTTTCCGGGAGGGCTCGCAGCGTGGGAGGACATCGCTCACGCGCGCAGCGGAGCGGTGTCGTGCGATGGCTATGGGCCGCTTTGCGATTCCGGGGTTGTCCGTTTGGCGCCGCCGCGCTTTGCTCTAAGGCTACGCCGGTGCGAGCCCGCCGCGTGGCGCCGCTTCCACGCCTTCCACTACAAGACGCCGCTGCTCTCTCGGGGTGAGCGTCAGCCCCGACCCCCGCAGAAGGAACGTAGCGCCATTTCGCCTCTCTGCTGCCCGTGAAACCGCGCGCACTGCCTTCCATTCCGCGAAGCCGCCTGACACGCCGCCCCCCTGCAGTCGCAACGTGCTTCCTCCTCGAGGCGACTCTCTGGGGCCACTCGCCGCGCCTCGCGGCTCAGGAGCGCTCCTGCCACCAACGTGCGAGCTCAGAGCAGCACCCTGTTGACGGCGTCAGCGGCTTGGCCGCGCCGACGCACGAGACGGAGGCCGCCGTGCGCATCCCGGTCGGATTCGTGGCGACGATCCCGCACTCGGGAAGGCGCTCCGAGTGGGCGCGTGCGCCGGCGCAGCGAGCGCACCGAACTGTCGTGCTGCCGGAGTGGCAGGGGTTGGGCATCGGTGCGCGCCTGAGCGACGCGGTCGCCGAGTGGCACCGGCGGCGCGGCAGCGACTACTTTGGGCAGACCGTGGTGTGTGCACGCACTCCGCGGCGCGCTGTTCTGCCCTCGCGCGCACCGGTCCTCACGGCTCCCGCCCTCCGGCCGCAGCACCCGCGTTTTGGCGGCTACCGCGACGCCTCGCCGCTGTGGGAAGGTGCGCGCCGCCTCCTGCCTATCGTCCACCGTCACGAGCGCTCCATGTGTGTGTCCATGTCCATGTCCATGTCCATGTCCATGTGTGTATGGGGTGCGCATTGGGTGCGAGTAGGCACCGACGCCAACCACAGCACGCCCGAGCTTCGCTGGCTGCCGCGCCGTCTCACGGGCGCGGGGGGGCAGCGTGCCGTCGCCATCAAGCGCCAGCAGCCGAGGATGGTGTACGCACACGCGTACGTCGGCGCGGCGGCGGGCGAGCCGGCGCGGCGGCATCTAGAGGAGCGGGTGCGGTTTGTGGAGGTCGATGGATTGGAACTGATTGAGGACGACGAGTGCCCTCCGGCGAGCTGACCGTGACAGTCTCCACCTGTGAAGAGTGGTCGATCGCGAGGTGTCTATACTGTGATTTTCACTATTTCACTCAGCTGAGCTCTCTTCCTCTGACACCTCTCGTCTCCGCGCACATCAATGATCAATCATCAAACACATCCGTCGGTTCTCGCGCTCTGCGCGCTGAGCTCTGTGAGCAAACGGCTGGTCTTTTGGTTCCCTGAGACCCTCTCCTAAGAGATGTGCATATCCTGGACGTTTTATTTTCACCCCTTAGTAGAGACCGATGCGTAAATCCAATCCGCAGAAACGGCCGGTCACGGCGGCGCTTCCCTCGGCTCGAGCGTCGTCGCCACAAAGCCCTCAGACTTGGCGAGGCCGGTGGAGGAGGCGAGCGGCTTCGCCTCGGCAATGAAGCGCTCCACGAGCTCGGTCGCGCGCGCGAGCGACGCGGAACCGCCCTCGGGGCGCACCGCGGAGGCGGCCGTGACCTTGACCACGTTCCCCTTGGAGAGGAAGCCGAGCGTCGACTTGATCTTGACCCCAACGTCGTGCTCCTGGCACCGGTCGAGCAGCCGCACCTCCTTGACGCGCGGCGCCTTGCCCAGCCGCCTTCGTCGCTGCAGCGCCTCCGCGCGTCGCGCGTCCGCGTCGCCGGCCGCCGCCGCTGCCGCCGCCGCCGGCGGCGGAGGTGGCGTTCCGGCCGCCGCAGTGGCGGGTGCCAATGCATCAGGCGCCACGAGCCGCCAGACGGGCGGCACGGCGTTTGGCGCCATCTCGGCAAGCTCGAGGCCCTCTGTCCGGGCGAGCGCGAGAGCCTGCTGCGGCGCCATCACACCCAGCTGTTTGCCACCCGCCGAAATCAGCCGCAACTCGCCGAGCGCGAGCGCAGCTGCTCCCGTCCGCGCGCCGGACGGCACGTGCACGCGTGGGGCCGTGGACGCCAGCCGAGCGAGCCGAGAGACTCCGAGGCGCGCCAGCCGCAGCTCCAGGACCATTTGCGCCTCTCAGCTGGCCCGCCAGCAGCCGCTCGGCCAGGGCGTGGAGTTCGGGCGAGAAAACACATGGCTCGCAGGCCAGCAGCTTGGCGTAGCGACCACACTCCTCTCCTTAAAATCCCTGTGTGGTGGCGGCGTGCCGTCCTCCCATCCCTCCCTTGGGGTGTCTGGGCTTTCTTTCTTTTTTGGCGTAGCGATCGAAGTTTGCAGCAACGCTCAGCAAGGAGCTCCCGCACGCGCTGGCGCCAGGCATGGCGCATGCAACGCGTCTGAATCCTCGCCTCGCCTCGCGCAAATGCGACCGTCCTCGCAGCCGACAGTCCACCGCCTGCTAAAGAAGCACTGCGACGAATGCGGCACCGGCGACGCATGGCAGGCTGTGGAGTTGGGGAGAGAAAAGAGAAATACCGGATGAAAAACCAAGAAATCGGCCGTGTGTTTGACCAACACATCCATGCCGAAGGCGCACCCGCCGCGAACGCCCCCGACTCCGCTCTCCACGCGTAATGGCGACGCGGAGAGTAGTCAGGGCTCCTTTCAGTCGCGGCTTCAGGCGGGGTCTGAGTCTCCAGCCACAACCGCCGCCGCCTCTCACACCTGCCGCAGTGCCACAACCGAGTGTGTGCCCAGCGAGACCTCGACCTTGCGGTTGACAACCTCTGGGGTGGAGGTGGAGCCGGAGGCGCAAGCTGCTGCGGGCGCGGAGAACGACAAACCAAACGGCGACGGCGGCGGAGATAGTGGCGGCGGCGACGGCAGCGCTCCAAGCCTGGGCTCGCGCGCCGAGTCGCTGCAGCGGTCGCTGGGCGCGCGGCTCGAGCGGCGGGCACACGAGCGGCAGTTGAAGCGGCACGTGCTCGCGCAGCGGCTCCGCCAATCGCGCTCGTGGCGCGGCCGAGGCACGATGGTGTCTCCACCGCTCTCGCTGCTATGAATAGGTACCGCGATGCGCGACTCGCGGCAGAGGCGGCCAAGGCGGAGGCGGAGGCGGAGGCGCACGTGCGGCGCGCGCGCGCTCGCAGGGAGCAGGCTGCGCAGCAGCGCGAGGCCAAGGCGGCGGACGAGCGGGCGGCGCAGCGGCGAGCGGCGGGCGAGGCGCGGACCGAGCTTGCACGCCTCCACGCCCGCCGCGCCCTCCTACGTCGCTTTGGCTGGAAGCCATGGCGTGCCCTGCTCAACGGAAAGCGCTTGCGCACGGCGGCAGCGCTGGCGCACCGCCGGGAGAGGCTGTGTGGCGCAGCCTTCGGGGGCTGGCTGCTGCTCGTGTCCCGAGCGGCTGCCGCTCGCGGCTGCAAGGAGGGGGTGCTTCGCATCTGCGCCTTGCGGCTTCGCTGCCGCCACACGCAGCGCCGGGGCCTGATTCGGATGCGGGAGATGGCGGCAGTGCACGCCGAGCGGGCGGCGGGCGCTCTCCGCGCCGTGCGTGCCGGCTGGCTGCGCCGGATCCTCGCCGGGTGGGCGCTAGTTGCGCGGGCGGCGCGGGACCAGCAGGCGGCAGAACTGCTACGGCGGGAGCTCGAGGTCGTCGAGGCGTTGAGGCGCTTGCACTTGCGCGTCGCCATCGCCGCGTGGGTAGCCAGGGGCGAGCGGCGCCGCTTGCGGCGTGCCGCCCGCGCGTACAAGCAGCAGCTCCTCTCTAGGGTGGATGCTTGGCTCGAAGGCATGGATGCCTCGGCCAATACACAGGGACGGCAAGGCTCGGGCCGCTTGCTTCCTCGCGTGCCTCCCCTCCCCTGAGGCTCGTGGCGCGCCGGACAACTCTTTCGCGGGACTCTTGCAGCTGCTTTGAACGCACCCGGTTCGCGCCTTGCACACCGATTGAGAATCACTTCATGCAATCGTGGCAGAGGGGAGGAGAGAGGGAATGCGATGGCCAGGGAAGGCAGCACCCAGGCGGGTGGGGTGCGCGGGGGGAGGGGAAGTCTTGCCGACACGTGTCTTAGCGGGGTGAAAAAGAAGTGAGAGACGCAACGCCGTAAAATAATCCATATCTGTTATATCTCCAACGCGATGGAGGGTAGAGCCGTCACACGGGCTAGTGCCATTTCACTGTGGCACAGCTCGCGTTACAAAACCTTGATTTTGACCATTTGCGCAAAAAGGTACATCTCGGTGCCTTCCAGAGGCAGCTGCGAGTCCTGGGTATGTACCTTTGTTGCGCGCCGGAAACGACTCGACGCCGCTGAGATCGGAGATCAAGCTCTGACAGGTCGCACGTCGCTCCTTTGACGCCGACGTGACTCACCCGTGCAGATCACATCAGGACACGGTCTCGACACGCTCGGTACGACACCTGCGACCCGTCTCGGGCGTCAGGTGGCACGACACTCATCGCACCTACCAGCGCTGCCGTGCAGGTTGCCACGACGAGGTCGAGCACGCTTCTATACGCTCACCCAGCCTTCCTTTCCATCCCATTAGGTAGCCTGGGAACGGTGGCGGTCAGAGGCAAAGCCTACGAGGGGTGGTGGAACCACATGTCACGGCTACTGCCGGCTCGACCCACGATAGCCTCCGGAGGCTGACTTTGCGGCATCATCATCGGACGATGTCGACGAGTTGGGTCGCTCTCGCGGTATCCAGATGACCTCCCATACTAGTGTCATCGGCCATGGCCGCAGGAAGCGCGGGAGAGAGCGCTGGGAGCAACACAGAGCTCCGTTGGAGACGTTTTCAAGATTAGCGTGTCAGAGTGAATTGGCACTAGCCACACACACCCCGCACGTGGTCGCAACCCTGCCGCACAACGAGAGACCACGAGATCGACCGAGAAAACTTCGCCTCTCGAGTCTCGTGTTGCGGTAACCGGTATTGCGGAGATCAAGAATCTAACAAGAGTCAAGACACCGACGACCGACGACCGACACGACACGCACGTCGCGAATCCAAAAAGCGAAATCGGAAATGCGAAAAAAGAGCGGATCCAGAGGTCGAACGTCATGTCACTTGACACTTCCGCGGCCCGTCCCCCATCGATGCACCCGGTGCACGCCGCGGTCTCGTCGGAGGTGTTGGGAGGGCCCACCTCCGAGTGTTGTATAACGTACACTGAGGCCTGAGGGCTTTCCCCAGCCAACACCCCCCGGCTATGGGCCTAGGCCTCGCTGAACTGTTTTTTTTCAACTCGTGTTGTACCCATTGACAAAATGACGCGGGGAGAGAGTAGCCGAGACCATTCTACGCCTAAACGTACCGTACTAGGATCCACTAACTGTATTGTGTGCTCGAGTTGCAAAGCGGGAGCAGCGCACGATGACGTGCCCATTCGTGTAGAGCCCAATGTCGTAGTGATTTCGCCGACGCAAGTGCCGGAGCAGCGTTTCGTTTGCTATGCGCTGCTCTACGGGCGCGTGTGGAGGGTGGTTTCCACAGCCCGCCGCCGCGGCCCGAGGCCGATTCCGCCACCCCAGGAGCCCAGGTGGTCTCGAGTGGTCTGCGCGACAGCCCGGAGCTCGAGCTAAACAGCTATCGAGGCAGGCTTGATCGACGACGAAGGTCAGCCGCTGCCGATAAGTGACTATTTAAGTGCGCCCGCGCCCTCCGAACCCCCCCGCCGCTCTCGGACGCATCGCCACCGGGAAATATAATGCGCAGCGGGTAATTATCTCCGTGAAATAAGAATTCGCCGACGCCACTTCCCGGGCCGGCAGAAGACACATCCTCTATTCTACCTCCGAAAAACGGGCGATGGGGTACACACGAGATGTTGCGTTGCGGATCAACCGACCCTATCAAAAGACGTAAGAGTAACCACACACATGCACTTCCATTCTTCCAATGGCAATGCACATGCACATGTTCGGATGTTGCATCTTGTTCATGTGCATCGGCACATGCGAGATGCGGACGCGTCTGCGTTGTATCCACGAGTATCGTGACAAAGACATGTCTCATGTGTTGTTCCAATGAGCAATGTCCGTACCCTGTGATGAGCCGTAGACGCGCGCGGGGCGTGTCCGACGCGGCGGTCGGCGTCGCGGTAAACGAGAGCCCATCCGCGCGGCGCCGGGATCTGGTGCGACCCTGGTCAGTGGTCACTTGGACACTTCCGCTCGTCGGCGTCGGCGCGTCGCACGCGAAGCACAAACGCCTCAGCGCTGCCGACGCGGCAATGATACACGAGTTGGACTCCGGGCAAGCCCGCCGCCGCCGCGAAGGCAAACGCATTCCCAATCCAACACATCGTCGCGGCCTAATGTTTTGCGAGGGGCGGTGGGCGAGGTGGGTCGGCCAGTGCCTCCGGGGGCAGCACGCGCTTCGCGCCGGGAACTCGCGAACGACACACTCCAGAATCCGGGCGCCGTCCTCATCGCCGCCAATATGCTTGCCCCAAGGAGGGTTGGAGACGATTACGTCGGGCGGGTCCTCTCGGTGCGGAAACGGCGCCAGAGCGTCGTGTTGCGCGACCTCCGCCGCCACGCCCAGGAAGTCGAGGTTTTCGCGCGCGCGGCATACGAAATCGTCGCGCAAGTCCGAGCCGCGGCATGCCAAGCCAAGCGCGGCCCCAGCCGCGAGCACCGTCCCGGACCCGCAGCAGGGGTCGAGCAGCCGCAGCGGCCGGCGAGCCACCACCTCCCCGCCGGCTGCGCGGTGGACGTTCGCAGCGATGCTCACTGCGGCTGAGGCGATGAGCGGCTCCAGGCTCGCAGAGAAGGCGAACGGCCGGTGCTCCCAGCAGCCAACCCAGGGGGGGAGGGAGAGGGGAGGGGGCGATGGGCGCCGCGCCACGCCGACGGCGCAGGCACGCTCGAGCGGCATCTCGCGGCAGAGGAAGAGCGCACGTTTGGTCTCGAGCAGCACAAACTTGTCGCACTCGGCCGCCAACGCTGCGACGTCGGCATCGTCTTCCGCGCGCGGAGCGGTGAAGCCCGCGCCGAGAATGGAGGAGAGGCCGATGGCAAGGGAGGGCGCGTTGGTCAGCTCTGTCCAAGGAGCAAGGTTGAGATCCCCGCCCGGATGGTGCGCCTCGTGGCGGAGAGACCAGCATGCGTGGCTGCGGGCGGGCGGCGCGGCGCGCACTCGTTCGAGCAGCGAGGATGGCGTCGCCGCGCAGTGGACCATTGAGAGGCGCAGCCTCACGCCGCCGAGGCGCGGGATGTGGTGCGCGAGCAGCGCGCCGGCGCTCGGCTCGTCGCCGGCTCCGCGGAGGACCCATAGCCCTCCTCCGAGCGGCGCGAGCAAACGCTCGGGCAGTGCCACCAGGCGGGCAGCGGCGCGGAGCTCCTCAGAGAAGAGTGCCGAGTTGCGCAGCGCCGACCGCAGCACGAGCAGGTGTCCGCCACTGGAGCATTCACGCAGCAGCGCGTCCTGCTCCAGGAGGTCCCGCTCTGCCCACGCCCCGGCCGATAGAGTGGCAGCTGCGGCCGAGGCCTTCGCGGCGCCCTTCGCCGCAGCCTTTTCGAGCCCCTTCCGGTGCCTCAGCTCGGCCTCGGCAGGGTCCACATACATAGGCGCGTGGTGTTGGATGGTGTGGATAGAGAAGGGTCTCTCGAGGTTCTCGAGCTGATATGCTTTGGCGGCTCCGGCCCTCGCGGCTCCAACGCGAATAGAAAAAGAATGCCTTGGCTAGCTTTTTACTTTTTCTGTGTGGTGAAGGGTTGAAACACAAAGAAGAAAATCGACAAGCCTAGCGAGGAGAATGACATATTCGACACCCTCGAAGACCATCTCGGCTACGGTTCCGACTCCGGCTTCGGCCGGTAGTCGACAAGCTGCCGAGCCCAAATCACTCTCTCTGCCACATTTCTTGTTGGCTTCTAAGAATCTAATACAAGGGAATAAGGGAAAAAGAAACAAAGAAAACAGACAGGCCAGACGAGGGACGATGGGGGGAGGACAGGGTCCCTACTCGAGGTCCCTACCTGCACGAGCAGGATTTGGGAAGGACGATCAGGGACACAGGGGAACGGGAGTGGGGAGCGCATCGCGACACGGAGGGGGGCTGGGCAGCGTTCACCCACACGACAGGGATTTTAAGCGGGTGTTGGGCTTCTAAAAAAAATTCTTGTGAGGGCACCTGGACCTGCTGAGGGCACCACCTGCGAGCACGCTGCATGGCGCAATCCACGACTCCAGTGCCCCACTCTCTCACCACCCGTGGCACACCCGTCGGCGCCTTCCGCTTCCGCAATGCGGTCGTCGGAGAGTGGAGAGAGAGATTTTTGAAGGCTACGGGACCGGCCCCAGCTTCGGCTGAGGGCTGACAAGCTGAATGAAGAGAGAGAGCGAGACAAGCTGCCGAGCCCAGATCACGCACGAGTGAGAGTCGTGATTTCTTGTTGTCGGCCAGGCCTCCAAATACCAAAATAGAGAGAGAGAGATTTTTAGCAATACCAAACAACTCTAACACTCACACGTAATTTGGGGCCTGGAGCCCTGTTCACGCGCGCGCGCGAGACGTGCAGACAGGGTTGCCAGGTGAGAGCGAATGGCGCGGTTCACGCCTCGCACAACAAGAGAGAGAATAGAGAGAGATAAGAAAGAAATCACAGGTGGGACAACCTAGAGTGAAACCTGAGTGTTAGAGTTGTTTGGTATTGTTAAGGTATTGCTAAAAATCTCTCTCACCTCTCACACGTGGGCATCTCTAGGGATCAGGCGAAGCTGCCCCTGGTGCCTGGAGAGGTAGTCCCCTCGCCCCCTTCCGGAAGAAGTAGAGTGTCCCGAGACTCCCCGATACTAGTGGCGTAGTAGGATGAGAAATATGAATTCGAGTTGGCTCAGAACAAAAGAAACCGGGGATCCGGGCGCCCGGCCGCCGCGTTGTGAGGTTGTGAGGCGCCCGGGCGTGGCTTACTGCCCCCGCGATGAGGATGAGCGCGTTGGATTGGTGGCGCTTGCACCAGCCATCGAGCCCGCCGCCACCGCCGCCTCCGCCGGACTGCTGGGGACCGTGCGCAGGTGCGGGACCGTGCCCTGGCTTCTGTGGTGGGTCGTCCTGCTGCATGACAGGCTGGCAGGCGCTGGGATGCCCAGCTCAAGCCTGCACTGGCTACCACTGCTGCGTCTCGGGAGTGCCGTTTCCGCCCTCGCCACCGCCCTCGCCGCCGCCGCCGCCGCCGCTGCCGCCGCTGCCGCCGCCGCCGCCGCCGCTGCCGCCGCCTCCCTCGCCGCTGCCGCCGCCGCTGCCGCCGCCGCTGCCGCCGCCTCCCTCGCCGCTGCCGCCGCCACCGCCGCTGCCGCCGCCTCCCTCGCCACCACCGCCGTCCTCACCGCCGCCGCCACCCTCGCCGCCGCCGCCGCCCTCGCCGCCGCCGCCGCCACCGCCGCCGCCGAAGCCCCGTCCACCGCCGCTGCCGCCACCGCCGTCGTTGCCGCCCCTATCCCCGCCATCCCCGCCCCCACCGCCGATGCCGCCCCGGAACTGCTTCTGGGAGTGTGGCGGGCGGTCTGGGATCTGCCCCAGCTACTGCTGCGTCGGCCGCGCTTGCTGCCGATCGGGCTTCCTCGTCCCCGACCAAACCTCGTGGAGAGGGGCCCCCAGATGCCCGGCGCTCGTCTCGGGATGCGATGGCTACCACTGCTGCGTGTCA